CCCCCCCCCCCCCCCCCCCCCCCCCCCCCCCCCGCCACAGTTACTCGCACAGTGTTCAGCCTCCTACCCCCACCCACACCATCCCCGCCTTCTGCACCCCCCGCACCCCCCGCACCCCCCGCACCTGCATCTCCCGCGCGGCGCAGTCTTGTCGGCGCAGGAATCGGTGCTGGTGTGGGTGTTGGCGGAGACGGTGTGGGTACTGGCAACACTAACGACAACGGAAATGGGTTTATGGGCACTGACACTGGTAGCAATGCTAACAACCTCGAAGACACTGGAGATTCGCCCGACGTCGACAAGCGCAAACGCCAAGTCGGCGTCGCTCCAGGCATTGATCTCGGTATAGGTGGCGATGGTACTGGGGAAGGCTCTACGGATAATGGCAACACAGAAGATGGCGAGGACGATATCGATCCTGTTGGCAGTGCATCCTCGAGCAGGAAGCGCGATGGCTTGGTCGGCGTTTCTCCTGGGATTGGTTTGGGTGTTGGGGGAGCAGACACAGGCACAGGCACAGGCACAACAGGATCGAGCGACAAACGCGATGGTTTAATCGGACTTGCTCCAGGCGTTGGACTTGGTGTTGGGGGAGAAGGCACTGGCACAGGAACAGCAGGATCGAGCGACAAGCGTGATGATCTAGTTGGGCTTGCTCCAGGCATTGGACTCGGCGTAGGTGGAGATGGCTCTGGTGAAGGCTCCACAAGTTCAGATAGTGCAGTAGACGTGGGCGCTGGAGTTGGGGTTGGAGTTGGGGGTAATGGTGTTGGCTCAGGCTCTGATTGAGTACATTTTATTGCCAACCATATCACTAGAATTGCGGAGGATGAAGTAATAGATTAATCATACTGTACCTATAATCAAACATTTAAGATCAATCATAATTCTGCAGATTTTGATGCTGCTTGTGGGGAGGTGTAGACGTTTTGATCGATACAACAACCTGTCTTGGGCTCCTTTTCCTATCGTAACTGTCTTGGGAATGAGTTTAGATTCCGACACGAATGGCCAACACCTACGGAACCATCCGAAAACGACTGATTGAAGTATTATAGAAGCCATGATACTAAGACACGTTGCAATACATTGTAGAAGGGAAGCTTCATACTACTCTGATTCACAAATAACTTATAAACTCGTTTACAAGCGCCTATGCAGCTTCGGAACATGATTTGGGTTCATCTCCGACAAGTCCGTGTCTGGCAGACGTCACCCATGCGTCGGAATCACTCAACGCGACGCACTCTGACTACAATTTTATGGCGAGCGGATTCAATGCAGAAAATATCAAGTTGGAGTAAGGTCATGACACAAGGTGTTGCACAAGTTTTTCCTATATCCGATTATTCTTAACAACCCCATGATGAACGAATAGATAATACAGTGAAAATCGCAGCATTCTTCTACAAATTAGCTACTTCTAACCCGGACACGGGTAATTTTTCGATGGTTATTTTGGCAATGTCGTATCAAGTACTGACTCCCCAAGCGGATTTTATGAGATCAGAGGCCCGCTCCGCAAGCGCGTAGACACAAGCCTGCGGATGCATCGATGGGATATACGGCTGAGAAAAGCATATTAGACATCCATTCCACACACTAGATCGCATGCTCACAAATACGGATGCATCGACAACACGAAGCCCTGACGTGTTCTTCACGAGAAGTTCAGAGGTGACGACACCACCATCCTGTGAGGCGGGCTCCATATGTGCAGTGCCAACAGGGTGAAATACAGTTCGGGTGTACTCGCGGGCGTACTCTTCGAGCTCCGCGTCGGTCGTCGCGCCTGAAAGACCGCCATATGGTTGAATGATGTAGCCATCCCATGCCGGGGAGGTTAGGTACTGCATCGCGTCCTTAATTGCCTGCACCATCACAGCGACGTCGAATGGAGTTCCGAGTAGGTTTGGATTGATTTCCGGATAATCAAATGGACTGTCAGACGATAGTGTCAAAGTACCACCTGTCAATACAAAACCATTGTGATGGTGAGTAAAGTCTCGTCAAGAAATTCTTGTGGGATACTCACGGGAAGAAGGCGATACTACGTTTGTGAGAATGGTCAGATAGTATCCCGTGTCGGGGTACGGGGCCGGGTTGTCAGGCGTTCCGTATCCGTTCTATACATAGTTCGATTCAGTCAAATGTAGGGCATAGAGATGACAAACGACTTACCGCAAACAGCATCTCTAGCTGAGGTGACATGGGGCCCGCCGATGGGTCTGAATAGCTCTCATAGATTGACGCGTTGTCGGGCAATCGGAGCCATCCAATCTGATTGGAGCCATTATCAACGAACAGTCCAGTCCCATTGGTATACCATGCTTCATAAATTTCCGCCTCTAATGTCGCGTTTCGTTCTACTTTTTCGAATGTGTTGGTCGAATTCACTAGCCATGCGTTGGCGAGTAGGGGATGATCAATTAAATTCTGACCGACGTCACTCAGGTTGACGAGAGGAGTCACTCCGACGCTTTCGAGCGATGCGGTGTCTCCTATTCCACTAAGCAGCAGAATCTGTGGTGTTCCGATAGAGCCCGCGGACAAGATGACCTCTTTAGTCGCAGTCACTGTATAGGTCTCACCTAGCATCATCGAGTAAGACTAGTGAAAGCGCAGATTCAACAGGAAACGCACTATCAACGCTCTGTGCCATTTCGACTGTAGTGAAAGCCGGAAGTCCGTTGACGGTGCTAGATGAGATGACCTGAGTCACTTGAGTTTGAATAAGGACATCTAGATTTGAGCGATTATAAGCCAGTTCGAGGTACGCAGTGGCAGAGCTGCTCCTCCTTCCGAATGTACTGATCGAGTTCTGAATCCATCCTGTGTGAATCATAAGGAAATCATCCCTTGATAAGAGAGAGAAAGACCACGCACCAACGCCTAGCGGATTCCCAGAGTTCATGTCTTCATTGTACGGGAACGTAGTCGGCATTTCCACTGTCGTGTTGATAACTCGCCCATCTATCCAAGATGGATAACCCGGAAGACTGACTTGAATGGGGCCAGACGTGCCATGGATGGACGGATTGACTTCCCCAGTTGTGTCGTGGTGATCGCTAGGCGGAACGAGATTTTCACTCTATAATGATAGACTTGAGTGTACCCTCCTCAGAAGAGAAATCGAAGCCTACCTTCAACATGTAGGGGTATATCTCATTCCATGACCACCCATTATCACCAGTGTAGTTCGCATACCTATCCCAGTCATCCTCCGATCCCCTGTTCCATACCATGTAGTCTACAAAGTACGCTTGCATAAACCAGACAGAGTAACTTCAGACCATCACTCACTTATCGTGCTGCTGCCACCAAGTATGCGACCGCGTGGATATGGAATGGCTCTGTTGTTAAGCCCATTTTGCGGGGTTGTTGTGTAATTCCATGTGAGCGACGTATCGGGTGATAGAGTTGGGCAGTAGAACGGGATTTCCACATCTACATTGTTTTCGTTTCTGTATATGACGCCTTAGCTTTCCTACACTTCAATTTGCATTCACAGCACTCACGAGATACCCGCTTCTATGACAAGAACAGAGAAATCGGAGACCTCCGTGAGCCTGCTGGCAACTACGCCTCCTCCAATTCCCGCTGCACACAATCAGGTAGAATACTCGGCGCATTAGGGTAATTTGCTCACCGCCGACTATCACAAAATCATACTCTGTTTGTGGTAAAAGAGATGGGTCTGTGTAAATAGCACAATGGACTGCAGGGTAAGCAGAGGGGGCAAGCAGGGCCCAAAGTAGAAAGCGGTGACGAGGAGCCATGTTGTCGATCCTGGCGAATCCGGTAAAGCGAGGGCCATTTTATACTTTCGTCCATGGCCGATTCCCCGATACAAGGAAAGAACTAAGAGTATAAGCGATAGAAAAGAGAGCCATACAGATTCCAAAATTCACACCTTGTTCCACAATGCCCGTGTAAAGTGATCCATCAGAATGAACCATCCTCTGGCCCGCAGATAAGATTAATTCTGATGCGTCGTCCAGGAACGGCTCGTTCCTGGACGAACGGGAAAGACGACCACTTGTACGGGATGATATGCGTCGTTTTGTACACCAACACATTTTCATCGACGGCGTGGTGTGAACCTAGACTTGATTTAAGCCAGGCTCAACATTTTCTTCAAGTGCTGGACGCTCCGTTGTCAGCAGGCAATGCCTTGGCTCTCGCACGATATTATGCACTTCCCGAGACACTAATACGATCTCCCTGCAAGATCTAATTGCCGCATAAGTCCTAGAAGTTGTGCATACTCGCGTAAAGATTTGACAACAGCGAATCACCTTGATTCAGCAGTAATGACTGAACAGCATTTATCTCAACCTTCTAAGTAGCTGGAGAAAAGAATGGGCAATTGGCCTGGCGGGACCAGGGCGAAACCAAAAGTGGCACGCGAAACCTAACCCTAAGTACAACACTTGTCCAAAATTATGATACTAAAATCACACACCTACAAAGTAGCACAAGTATCGGCAGGAATAATCATAAACAAATAATAATCACAACCATCTCTCCTTAATCAAGTCCGCCGCACGCTCTGCCAGCGCATACACACAAGCCTGTGGATGCATCGAGGGGATGTAGGGCTGCATAATGACACGATCAGGACTTGTTATGACTCGTAAACCAATCAGGCACACTTACCAGGACAGAAGCATCAACGATTCGTAAACCAGATGTACCTTTCACTAACAACTCAGATGTAACCACGCCGCCTTCGCCAGACGCTGGTTCCATCCGAGCCGTACTGACGGGATGCCATACAGTCGCGCCGTTGTTCTTGATATACGTCTCCAACTCCTCCTCCGTTTGTACATTAGCTAGTTCTCCTGCTGGGCCACTAATGTATCCATCCCACGCAGGAGCACTCAGAAACGTCTGCGCGTCTTGGATCGCCTGAGTCATCACCGCCAGATCAAACGGGCTGGAGAGTAGTCCAGGGTCAATGAGTGGGTAATCAAAGGGATCGTTCGATGCCAGAGTAACCGATCCGCCTGAATGGATGTACAGCACGATCACGCGTGTCATCAATAAGTATGATCAGTGATCCCGACCATCCGCATCACACAAGCTAATTACGCACGGGAAGCAGGCGAGACCACAGCCGTGACAATTGATAAATAATATCCGGTTCCTGGGGTTGGTTGTATGCTCGATAAGTAACCGTTCTGAGCATACATTAGTCAAAACCGTACGCTGCGAGTACATAAGCTTGATAAAGCCCACGTACTGCAAAGAGAAATTCTATCTGGGGAGACGAGGGCCCCGCGGAGGGGTCTGGGTATGTCTGGTAGATGGCTGCATTGTTAGGCAGCCTCAACCAGCCAAGTTGGATGATTCCTGGGATGACGAACAGTCCGGTACCGCTCGCACCCCACTCAGAGAGTAGTTGTTCTTCGAAAGTACCGTTTCTTGTCACCTTCTCGAAAGTGTTGTTGGAATTGACTAACCACTGGTTAGCAACGAGCGAATGGTCAGTTAAGTGCTGGCCAACGTCGCTGAGATTAACGATGGGCGTCACTCCGGCGCTCTTGAGCGCGGCCGAATCACCTATGCCACTCAGCAGCAAGATCTGTGGTGTGCCGATTGACCCCGCAGACAATATCACCTCCTTAGTTGCCCGTACGGTGTACGTTTTGCCTATCACATGCGTAAGACATCTGCAAGTGTGGAGAGGGCGAGCTTACTGTTTGCAGACTGTGCAATTTCGACTGTAGTAAAAACGGGGTTGCCACCAGACGTACTTGAGGAGACCAATTTGGTCACCTGAGTCTGAATGAGAACATCAAGATTGGAACGACCATAAGCGGGTTCGAGATACGATGTTGCAGAGCTGCTTCGTCTTCCAAATGTATCAACTGAATTCGGATTCCAACCTTGAGGAAACTTTAGTTCACATAGACATTAACACAGACAAGTAGACCCACCAACGCCAATCGGAAATCCAGAGTTCATGTCTTCATTGTAAGGGAATTCAGAATGAAGCTCTTGTGTAGTATTAATCACACGGCCGTCGATGTACGTTGGATATCCTGCGAGACTGATCTGAACGGGTCCTGACGACCCATGAAGCGCTGGGATGATTTCTCCCGCTGTATTGTGGTGATCGCTCGGCGGGACGAGATCCTCGCTCTACATAACGCACGTGAACAATGAACTGGTGATCACTGCACACTGCCATTTCCTGTTCGACGCACCTTGAGCATGTATGGAAAAATCTCATCCCATGACCATCCATTGTCCCCTGTATACTCAGCATACCGATTCCAATCGTCTACGGATCCTCGATTCCAAATCATATAATCTGCATGACATCCGTGTGAAGACGTTGAACATAGACGTAGACGTACAGCTTACTTATTGAACTGCATCCGCCCAGTACGCGACCCCGTGGATACTGTATAACTCTGTTGTTGAGGCCGACTTGCGGCGTCGTAGTATAATTCCAAGTGAGTGACGTATCGGGTGATAATGTACTGCAAAAGAATGGGATTTCATCCGCCTCATCGACGGTGTTGCTGGAGGGACATTCAGTTCAAATGTTATGTAGTATGCTCTTGCACTCACTTGACGCCTGCTTCGATAACCAGGACGGAAAAACTCGCGTTTTCCGTAAGTCTGTTCGCAATCACATTTCCCCCAGTCCCCGCTGAAACCAGTAAGTCGACATGCAAGGACACGAAAACGACCACTCACCCCCCACTATCACGAAGTCGTACTCGGTCTGGGGAAGCTGAGCGGGGTCAGTATAAACTGCACCCCGGACAGCCGGGTATCCAACGAGAGCGAGGACTGATAGTAGCAAGGCGCGCTGTCGCATATTGGGGGGATCTGGAGACTGCTTTGATCTAGCTCGATCCTTTATACCTATTCCGACGTGATGTGAACATTCTAGCAGATCGGAACCTGAAGCGAAAAGCTGCCGACATACATCTACATATTAAAGATATGTCAGCTCCTATCCAGCGCTCTCGACGTATAGGGCACACTGAATCATAGCATGGAATGGATGTATAGTAGCACACTGAGGAGGCGCTAGGACTATTTTGAGGCGCGCCCATCACCAGTGCAATCTGTCACCAAGCTAGAATTCTGAGGCGCAGGGAGAATTGATACGTAGAATCCCAAGGACACTCGAGCTGATGGCAGGTTGCTGTAGCGACTGTGCTGGCACGAGCGCCGAATCCCGAGAGGTGTCATACCACGAACAGGGAGGAACACCCAACTCGCCGCAGAACGCAAAGGACATTTGTACAGGCGCTTGAACGAAGCGCATCTACGCGATTGTCAATCACACCAGATCAGTGGGAGGAGATACCGACCTAATTCGCCAGAAAGGACTGTAACCATCAAGAAGGATCACACGCATGCCAACCAGTCCCATCGCAAAAGCTGAAAGCTCAAAAATATGCTCATCCCGGCGGTCTCTCTCGGCATTCCATTATCAAGTCGCTCTCTTGGTTCACTGTGAGATAGTCCTCTGCAAGTGCGGGTCGGAGTAGAGCCCAGCGTATCGTAGCCTCGTGATATAGCGTTCTGGCGATAACGTAAGCGATAGCGGTACTAGCAGGTGGTCGTGCTGACTTGAGTTGACAGACCTGGAGCCCTGGGTTCAACAGAACCTTATCGCTCTTCCAGAAATTCCGGAGTTAACACTCATGGTCTTCTCAACCAATCAACTGGGCTCTCACAGGCTTCTATAAGCGCCTGTATAATATGTAGAGCAACTCGCTAAGTCAATTCGGATCACCTAGTAAGTTCAAAGCGACAAATATTGATGGACTGTAGCAGGCAACGTATCTCACCATGCGACCATAGCATTGAGTTTCACAGCTCTCTATTTACAGCCTTCTATGTCTTTCGCTTGGGTTATCGGGTACCTGAGGCTGGGGCACCTTAGGTGGATCATGCGATTTGCGACATCAAACTGTGAGCACCTGTCAATACTTTTTGACGCAAGGTGGCGCTGGTCAGTTCATGCGCAATATGCAACCAAACATTCTCGGAATCCACGGATCTGCAGATACTTCCGACAGACCCGAGCATCAGCTTACATCCAGCACGCATCAGTCTTGGTGATCGTACCTCGAGATGTTGAACTAGCTGTAGTGGAGCTGCCAACGCCGACTCACAGGTGTGGGAGCTTACCTGTTGCTATCTTGCAAGTTTCGCTCTAGGGTCGTGTGGAGCACGAAGAAGATATGTGAATTCAAGCTGTTGTATTCATATACATCGAAGCCGCTGGCAGAAAGCCTTGGGTGACCGCAGCCGCCTGGGCTAAGCCAACTTATAATCCCGGAAGGAAGTTGTGGCCCATCGGTACCTGAATGATCCCAGGGGCGTGCTTTCACTTGAGTAAAGTGGATGGTCTGTGATAGCAATGCCTCGGCGAGGATTGAGCGCAAATGCTTACATGTCTAGGAACCCGAGGTATCCTTTTGCTTTGTGAATGCGTTAGTGGAAATGCTTTCGGACCCAAATATACTCCTGCGCTCGAAGAAGCTTGACCTGGGGAAGGCCGCATTGAGCTGCATCAGTTGTTAAAAACCGGAAAGACCACGTATCGTCGAAAGTCGATGTAAAGTTCCTGGAAGCAAAGTTCAACTTTGCAACGCCCAGACGAATGATTCCTCCGGCCGGTCTGCCGGGGGCTATTTTGAAGCTCCGACGAATACCGCCTTTGGTCCGCATAAGCTTCCAAAGGCTTCCAAGCTCGACTTTGGACCCGCTCAAGGTCCGATTCCAATATAGCGTGCGCCTGGCAGCTCATGCCTTCGACTCTCATGTCAAGTTGCATTACATGTTCTCCCGCTCACTGCGGTGGAACTCTGTGGTATGCGCTACTCAGAATCAGCTACTTCAGACAGCTCGCACGGTACTCCGGCTTGTCTGCTCTCGTCGCCACTCAAATTGATCTGTACAGCCCAGGGCCACAAGACCGACCGCGCTCTAAACAATTGCAACTTTGCGGAATTTGTAAAAGACTTTGGTTTGGAACTTGGGATCACTTGTTTTAGATGGACAGTTAGACTTGAAGAGATGAGACCATGCCGGCGCCCGGTGGGTGTCTTCACGCTTTCCTCTGTTTTTACTGTCATTATGCAGCCCTTCGATGTGTTAACATGCGACATCAGCCAAGGCTGTATGACATGTATATGTGGACTATGAGGGGCTTGAGGATATAGGATTGAAGATATCTTTGTCATGGCAGATTGTTCAGTTGTTCTAGCTCTGCAGATTCATTCATAAGGTCCGATTACTCATCTCATATCACTCCAGGGAATCCGGCACTCGGTGCATTTATAGTGGTACGCATCCTGAAAACTAGGGTAATGCATCATAGCGCTCACTTAGACTATTTAAAGTCTAGTCGGATTGCGGCGAGCCTCTATAATGTTCTGTGGCGTCATCTTCGTCATGATCAGTCGTGAAAGCCGACCCGGTGAAGACACAGGTGCGCAAGATTATCATTCTCCGAAAGCAGGGAAGAGCGTAACGCCCTTCGTTCACTGTACACCTTTTTTGCGACTTGCCGTACTTGTCCGACCGAGCCGCGTTGGCCCAAATCCATCTCATTATACGCTTCATCTCATCATCGCTTCAGTCTGCCATCCTTCTGTTCCATTTGTGCCATAGCTCGGATTAGGTCAGAGCGGATATCACACCCGAGGTAGCCAAGGCCGAATTACAATCATTTATATGTCATCCTCGGTTGTGGCGGCGATGGCAATGATGCTTACTGATACAGTGACGGTAGCTTTGCAATACACTCGAGACGGCCGGCGGTGGCAGTGGAGTTAATCGCCTGTTCTTTGTTCCATCAGTATTCATATATCGGGATCAAACATATACCTTGACCAGTTGGTCCCCTTTACAAACCACAGCGCTACAGTCGCTCTGTACCCAGCCCGTACTTTGCCTTCCAACAACTGTCAACACTTAGAAACTTTCCTACACACACTGAGCTCGCTGTATGCGTAACCTCTCGAACGATCTCGTCTACCAAGCTCAACGGAAATTTGCGCTGCTTACACGCGTCAAGGATGTCGTCCGTCATTGATATTGCCCACAGTGCTATTCTGCTACGAGTGTTGCTCACAGCATGAGCGGCTCGTTCTCTGCCCTGCTCTAAAGTTGAAGTCCGAAGGTATTAAAATGTGCTCGAAGCTTACGGAGAAATGGATTACTACTTCAATTTTGGCGTCGAATATCTCTCTATGGTCAGTGATAAGTCCTCCAATCAATCAAGTTATGAGTGCTGCTGATTCCCTAGTGACGCATACGCTGGTGTTTTATTGATCTCTTGTCTCAAGTAGCTTGCACAAACACTTTGACCTAGATACTCGGTACCAGACGTGTTGCAACAGCTGCCTTGAGGCCTGAAGTCGGCTCACTCGGTACGCCTAGAAGCTCGACTTCCTATGCTAGACTTATTTCGCACTGCGTGGGTTTTAGGCTGTTGAAGTTAGCGATCGACGATCGCATTGTCCACTAGTGTATACTTTGTTTCGCGGAAGCAGAAATTGCCCTAGACATGATCGGTACGAGGCAAGCGCCGATGTGACTCACTCGTGCCGCTGGCATATCATCACTTTCGAATAAGTACTTCAATTTCCAACTGCAATGATGGGCTGAGTGAGTGGAGATTTACCGATTCGGTTCCTGAGGCCAGCAAATGGAAGTGCAGAGAAAGGAAATCAGAGGGGGAGATTAGATTGCTGACCTCTTCAACTACTTACGGGGGAATACAAGCTCACAGGATCGAATACAGCTTCTGATACGCACATCCCTTAATGGATCTCGCACGCCCCAGCTGCAGGTCAATTGCTTGTTTTGCTGCAGCCTCACTCGCCATAGGTCTTCCTTGACTTTCTTCGAGCTCACCCCCTGGCATAGCATCGGGATGCCACGCAAATCACAATAAGAATGTTCGAACTGCACGTGTCACGAAACCAAAAAAAAAAAAGCTGGTGCGCGTTCGCGCAGCATATATGCGTCGGTTAGATTCCCCGCCCTTGCTCTTCGGAGGCGACCACACTCTGCTCTTCCCTCTTCGTCTCCACGATGAGCTCGTCTCTCGTCTCCCAGTCTTGCTTCTTGGAACAGATTATTGTCCCAGCTTTCTCCCGTCGTATCTGTCTGCGACGCTTCTCGAATGGTCACACCTCGACCGCGGTGGAGGCCATACAACAGCTCGAGCCAGATATCCTTGGCGTCTCAATCCAGCTCGCAAACGACGGGACTATTGATGCCATTGCGCTTGCGACAGGAGACCGCGTTTTCCTCTTAAGCATTGAGGATGGCAGCCCCGGGAAATTCGCAGCACTCAATGCACTCTTCGCCGGCCCTCTTCTCGCGACATTTCGAATGGCTGACGTCGCTTTGCAAATTTGCTATCACCTGGGTTTCCATTGCCGCGGAGTTGAGCTCGGGACATTGATTCCAGCACCAGAGCCGTGGTCCCCGAGCCGATTTGTAGACGTGCGAGTTACTCCTGGTATCAATCGCCATCCAATAAACGCTGTTTGGCACGGCCTTGGAGATACTAATCTCTGCCTTCGCGCGTGGCTTTCTGTGAAGTAAGTATTGCATAAACACGTTCATAATCTGCTGCTTAGACGTCCGCATAGACTGGCGGAAGAATCAAGAAGTTACGTTGAGTCTGCGGCAAAGGTCAATACTGCAGTAATCGATGCTGCGGAGTTGCGTTGCCTCGGTCGATGGGTAACCAATATCCAGCTTCTGGAAATGGCCAAGCCAGATCAAATGGAAAACGAGTTTGATGACATTGAACTCGTGGACGGGAATATCGTGCTCAGGAACTCGCGATTCAAGACAAGGGTTCGGAGGAGCGAGCAGGTCAGACATATCCATTGTTCAATCTGACCGGACGAGTCTGACCGGCGACCATGTAGACATCCGTCGTGCTTGATACTGAAGACGGAAAAACGATATATGGACAAGCAATACGCGCCGAGGGAAAGTCGACCACGATTAAGGTCACCGAAGGCCGTTTTCGCCGCGGGATAGGATCTATCCGCGTAGTAGGCAGAGAAGAACCCACTAATGCGGAACGTGCACGCGACGAGTTCATTCTTCGCGTCCTGTATGGCGAAGCCTCTCTTTCTCGTTCGCTATTGATCCAGATGCTGTGGTTTCCATCTGCGCTGGGACCAGCTCAGTGCAACATCACTCAAAAATCCACTCCTGAGAACATCTCCACGGAACGGGAGTTGAATGCATCCCAAGCACGTGTAGTGGAATCCATGATTAGTTTGACGAGTCCGCTTGTTATCGTGCATGGTACTCCTAATGCCATGAGTTTCCTGGCCCAATATGTTCAACTGATCTTCCTTACCTAGGACCACCCGGAACCGGAAAGACGAAAACTATCTCGTCTGCAACTCATGTCTGGCAGGAAAAAGGACAGCCGGTATGGGTCGTGGCACAATCGAATGTCGGTGTGAAGAATATTGCCGCAAGCTTTCACAAGCATAGGATTGGTTTCAAACTGATTGTGTCGAAGGAATTCTACGTGGAATGGTACACTTTCTGTCCTCGTCCGTTCTATTGTAAGAAATCGCTGAAAGATTCTATGACGACTAGGCATGAGCACATATACGGGCCAATTGAAAAGTATCTGATACGCTCAGACGACCTCTTCCGTTGTGATCCAGTTGAAATGGAGCGCATGTTAGGCAGTTCTCACGTCATACTATGCACTCTGGGCATGATGTCGAATCCTGCCCTGGATGACTGCCGGATATACAAATTTGTCCCCGTCGAGAGGCTGGTAGTCGACGAGGCGTCTCAAATCGATACCTTCGAATTTATGGTAAGCGGCTATTGTTGCAAAATAAGAATAAAACAGGTTGTACTGATCCAGCAAGATGACGTAGCATCTGCTTTACAAGTTCAAGAAGTTACACAAGCTGTGTTTCTTCGGGGATCCAAAACAGCGTATCTGCCACTACGTCCCTTTCTACTAGATGAGATGCTGAACACTGCTGAATATAGTTCCCCCTTTTGGGAAAGACAATGCGCCCGACATTCAGACGATATTCGACCTCAAACACTTGAAACCTCAAGCTCATTTCCTTGACACGCAATGTAAGTTCGCCCGCAGGTATAGCCCTAAGTCTGTCATATGAGCTTATCTGGCATTCAGACCGTATGCCCGCTCCGCTTGGCAACTTCATCTCACACAATGTGTACAACTCAAAGTTACGATCTGTGCATCGTATCAAAGATGCCTCGTGTATTGTTTTTGTCGATGTGGCCAAGGGGACAGAGGCAAAATCCGGGAATAGCTGGATCGTAAGCCCCCTGTTCACAATCTCGCGAATAGCACAATATTTTCTGAGGATATTTGCAGAACATGGAGGAAGTACACGCTGCTGTAAATTTGGTACGCCACTACTACCAGAAGATGAGGTTCTGTATCATTACGCCATACGATGCACAACGAGGGGCCATTCAGCGTCAGCTTAAAGCAGAGAAACTTCCTTGGGAGTGTGTGTACAACGTAGATAGTTTTCAAGGAAAGTCATTTTACATTTTACATTTGTACTCCAACTCAATGGTTCTGACGGAACAGGTCACGAGGAGGAGTTCGTCATTGTGTCGACTGTACGCACTGGTGGTCCTGGATTTCTTCGGTCGCAGGCCCGAACAAACGTCATGTTGACAAGGTGTACAGCTGGTATGGTCATCGTAACTAATCGACAATTCTTTAACAACGGGGGACGGGACACGTTACTCGGAAAATTAGCGGAGTACTGGGTTGGTATACGCGGACGGGAAGCCACTTGGACTTCGCCAATGTTGATCGCAGGTCGCACTGCAAAACTTCCCAAATTTCGTACGGGCACTGTTCCCATCTCCACCGCAGCTCCAAAGCTGCCTGTTACCGCGTTGGCACAACCTAAAACATCGATTCCTCCGACGTTATCTATGCAGAAGTTGTCAATCAATTCTAGTGACACCTCCGTCGTTCGGTACCACACCCCACAAGGAGCATTTCCCCCTTTACCTGGAGCATCTTCAAGATCGTCGGGCTCCTCCGGAAAATGGTTTAGCCGCAGAGGCAGAGGCTCTGTACTCCCCGCCGCCATTGGACCATCGTGTCCACGAGGGTCAGATACTCCATGGCGCAAGGACATGGTTGCCGTACGAAAGGATCAAGAAGAGATATATATCCAGGTGTCGAAAAGAGAACAGTCCCAGAACTCGTGGCGGAAGGAAGTACTGGGATCAACTTAATTGCATAAATCCTTGTGGGAACACAATGTCATTCCGGATAGTAATTGTGAATAGAACCATACAGACTTGGGGAAGCTACTAGTTGCAAAAATTGATTTTTGAACCATTGGTCGTTAATTTAAAGGATTTGAGTCAGATTTGTACTATCTGCTAAGTCGGATCAACTCGTACAGGATTTGAAGTCATTGGTACCAAGTGAATCTGGAACACCTGGGCTCATACATTTATTCGAATTTTTGAAACAAAAAGAATAGTCTTCTGATTATCAAATCCAGTGAGCTCTGATAAACAGCGCAGTGAGTGTAAGTACTTACTGAGTAGTAGGCTCGAGCGAGAAGGTATTCGCGGCGACGGCCGAAACACGATCTTATTGAACGACCGCGGCCGGTGGCGTCCACCTGAGGTCTGGAACAAAACTCGAAACCCCTTATTGAGACCGTCCTCTCCCACTCTATAAGGTCCCTATTTACAAGTCTGTCTGCGGGAGACAAGCTCGAACCTATGCTCACGAATGGACCCGTTTGAAGTTAGGCTTCAATTTCTTTCCTTGCTCAGAAAATTGAATGCGTACGTCTATGATATTTCCATCTTTCACAATATCTGAAATGGCTCATGCTATAGCTCCCAACAGTCGATCCAGAAGGTCGTCGGCTATGCCCTAAAGTATTTTTCTGGTTGTGGTGAGGATCTGTGGGACTGTATAGTGGAGGAATGCCAAAAGGTATGTCCTTCCTCGCTGTCTCTCTCTCTGCTGATAGTCTTGCAGGGCTCGATAAACAACCGCATCAACATCCTGTACCTTCTGGATTCGCTTTGCGAGACCTCACTCCTAGCTAAATCTCATCAGGGTCATGTTGGACAAGACGGAGCTCAGACCTCGTTCTACGTTGATTATGTTGCGCGGGACTTGGGGAAAATCGTGGAGTATGTTGTTCCGGAGGGTCGTCAGGGGCTCCCGAACCTCATGAGTACAAAACAAGTATGTCCTCTTCTGAACGTATTTTGCGCGTGTTTCCACATAGTATATACTCACACTGCGATAGATCCTGGAGAGCTGGCGGAGCAAACGTGTCCTCGACCCACAAAAAGTAGACGACGTCATGGCGACTTTGGATACGCGACGAGCGTCGCTCGAGCAGGAGCAACAAGCTGACAATACAGCGAGTCGCGAGCGTACCACAACACTCGCCCGCGGGGAGGTGTTCAAACGCATCGAGGAGGATCGCGAGCGTCACAAACGTCTGCGTGAGCGCCGCTGGGTACAGCCGGTGTCGCACAACCCGCACACCCATTTGCCTCCGCAACTCGCGTCATTCCTACCTCTAACGGACGATGGAGACGGCGAGGGAGAACTGACACTCGATATTGAGTTTGAGAATGACTGGGAGACTACGAGCGATTGGAACGAGGATGACGACGAGGCCGCAGCAGATGAGAACCATTTGTGCTTTCCATCGAATGATGGCGAGCAAGAGATGGATCTCTCATAATATCTCCTTGGTTCTCTTGGTCTCCCCCAGTCCACTTCCTGGCATACTTGGAAAGTATGATATATATTTGTAGAAGAGTGGAGAATTGTAATAAGTTACGTGCAAAATGTGAAAGATTTATTTGCCGATATGACCAGACCATAAACATGAACGATATCATCCTTCTCTAAATCTTTTTGCACGACCCTTGTTATCACTGGGATTCGGGTTAGTCAGCACCAGTCGGCTATATATGCCAGTACGCACGCAAAGGATCTGTTTTTCCGCTTTCGACTCTCCTTCTTCATGACATTACGCTGCAGCTTCTTCTTTGCCGCTAGCTCTGGATTGGTAGTAGCCTGACGATTAGGTATAAAACTTAGCGCCGCACGTATAACGGTGAATCGATGCATGGAACGTACCTGTACCATCCGAGCATTCCGTCGTTCCCTCCGCACGCTCAGCACGCCTTGCCTGATACGGTTGTACACATTCGCGAACTGCGTCGTTCCAACCTTAGCTTGGACCAGGTCCTGCAGTTCAACGGCGAGCGACTTGAGTTCCGCTACATCATAATTTAGATAGGCCGTCTGAGTAGGTGAACGATGAAGAGACTGACTAATTTGTGGATCACGAATTGTATCATCTTCCGCGATTCGGTATACAGGAGACAGAATGTGAACCAGGAATTGCATCGTCTGGCTTGCTTCCATGTGCGAAACCATAGCAGCAAACCACTTCAAGACAGACGCCGGTTGGTGAACCCAATTATCCTAGCCGAGAATGTCTGGTAAGGCGGTCTCATTGAGATGAAAGCACAGAACGTACAGGGCATGACGATTTATTCCTCCTTGCGGTATGTGCATGTCTAGCCTGATATGAGAGCTTCGAAAATAGCCATGGGAGCGGATGCCTGGTGGCTTCCTCGTCATTCTCGCTGTCGTTACGCTCGTTCTCGTGGTGTTCATTGACGCCTTCCACATCATTATCATCATCATCTGCAGATACTCGAGCGGGAAGCTCAATCATACAGAAGCTCTTGCCAATATAAAAGAGATTCTTCACAATCTGCAAGCTGAGCGCTGCATCAAGATTTGGACTACGAAGCTGAATACACAGCTTCTTAGCCACGTCTGCCATACCTTGACGCGACAACGGATCGGAATGAGGAAGGTCGGTCTGTGGAACAGCTACTGGGACTGCAGAAAAATACAGGCCCAGAAGCCGACATGACGCCGCACGGGTCCACGAATGAGGGAAAACGAGATGCTGCACTACAGTCGGCCAGTTCACAGCATTCGGTTGTTTTGTGAGGTCAGGCCTGACCCGCAACACTTTGGAGAAGACGAACAGTGCATGATACGACATTTGCCAATTGAGTTCCTCGTCTGTAGTATCCGCGCCGTCGAGTTCTGTCTCAGCGAACTCCAGCATCTGGGCGCTGCGGCTGAGAGCACTGTTGAGGTCTTCTAGGATGGACAACATATAGGGCGTTATATCCTGCTGTAGGAAATCAACGATGAGGCCGTATACTTGCATCGATACTCGAGCAAGCTGCGGCTGAGAAGTCTGTTGAGCCCAAGTGTGAACGTGCGACATCATGACGCTTCGTTGTCCATCAGTCAAGCGTGCAAAGAGGCTTTTGATGAGCTCCGACGCCATTTCCCTGCATTTTGCAGACTCGTCGTTCGCTACCACCATCACGAGAGCCACGAATAGCAGATCTGCGTATTCGCGCACAAGATCCACCGCAAATTTCGCGATTATGGCACTGAGCAACTCCATCACCGACTTCCGCCCACTTTCATAGACATACGAGAGATTTTTCGCCAAGAGTGTCATTTGAGTTCGAAGTCGGCCCTTGCCTTGCGGATAGTCTAGAAGGAATTGTAGCAAAACCCCTCGGCATAGCTCTTGGACCTGCGGAGACTGACTTGTCACCATGATTTGTGACACTCTGTCCATGAGATCGTATATTTCCGGCACAACGAACTTGCGAGACACAATAGCTCGCAGCATTGTAAAAACAGAGGCTTGTCGCGAAGGATCCTCGAGATCTGGCGAAAGTAGCTCCAGCAAGTAGACGAGGTCCTTTTCCTTCACCTGGGCAGAAGACTGCTCACGCAAAATAGTCGCCAGCGACTTGAACGCGACCTGCACGGCGTCCGACTCGGTTGTTCCTGCCTGCCTTATGATGTCGATCATCTGAGTGATGAGCACAGGTAGCGACTTATCGATGAATTTCAATGGACACTTCGTGATTGCCGCTGCTGCTTTCAATCCTAATATTACGACTTCCATGCGGTCTGAATACAAAGTGTTGCCAATGATTGTAACCATAGGTTCTAGTCGCGCGATAATCTGCTGGTCTTGGAAATCAAACCGGCTGCGACGGTGCGCGGTGACGAAGAGATCAAGGCCGAAATTGACGAATCTGAAGGCAAGATAAGAAATGGTCACGATAATACCACTGAACTCATACCTGAATGAATTGTTGGCGTAATGGTCATTTTCAGCGTAGATCTTGCGTCTCATCTGCACAACCGCATCATCGCGTCCCTTCCTGCCTTTCTTATGAGGCTGCGGAACTTCTCTGAGGAAGCGAGCATTTTGGCTTATGAGGGTGTGACATAGAACTAATAGCTCCTTGGGGACTAAGTATTCGTTTGCGTTCAAGCCGCTTGCAATCCTTCGCAGCAGATCATCCACTTGCTGCAACACTTTCAACGACTCGGTCTCCTTCAATATGTTCCGAACGGGGACAAGGAGGTTACTGATTTTGGGAGGTGTAATGTGCTTCGCCGTGATTGTGAACGAATCGTATCCTTTGGATGCAGAGGAACGAACCTCACGCATCTTTGTCTTGAAGTTCTCTGACTGCACATCTTTACCGGATTCGCCGAAAATTACCTCTGCGGCAATATGAGCAATATCGTTAACACAATCGTCCAGTACGTTGAATAGCGTTGCATGCTCTCCGGACGTGACGTGAATAAGCAGGGCGTGGGTCACGAATGCTAGTACATGAAGCTGAGGGCCACGAAGTAATGCGGCCCTCAGCTCGCGTAGCGTCATCGGAAGATAGGATGGGCCTAAGATGACAGCGATTCGACATAGCGTGTCCCTAGCAAGATCTCGAGTTTCCTGAGATTTGCTCCGGAAGACTTGGCTCAGGACCGTCAGCAATCGGGTAATTTGAGGTTCCCGCTGATCTTGGGGCAGATGTTTCGCGACTTGAACGATTCCAATCGCGATTGGGATCCTTAAACTATCTTCAGTTTCCTCCCGTTGCTCAAGGTGTTGCAGTAAACGAGGGAGTAAGCGTCGACTGACTGCATCTACGATCCGTATTGTCTCCAGGGCCGCTTTTGACGGCCTCGGCTCCAAGTCAGCTGCTTCGCCAACATTCTCCTCATTCTCGGCATCATTTGCATCGGGGTTCTCTGCTTCCTCCACTTCATCAACCACACCGTCCATTGGAAAGTGAAAATTGTCTAAGATGGCCACGAGTGTTCGGACATGAATACGCTCCGAGGCATCCTTCTTGCTAGATTGTCTGAGGCAACGTTCAGCAAGGGCATAGTACGAACCCCAGTTCAAGTGTCGCGCAATGTGCCCGGTGGCTGATATGGCTTCATTGGCCAGAAGATGATCGATAGAAGCGTTATTGACGAGGAAGTTGCCAACTAGGGGGATAAAGACTTCCGCTAAAGTACTATTGCGTAAGTGTCCGCCATCGCAATACTCGATCAGCCGGCGAATGGCCCTAGTGCGTCGATGTACCTGTATATGATGTATATTGTTGAAGAAATTTGCTTCTTCGTCGCCTTCAGCAAGTAAACCGCGCATTTCTCTTACGGAATCGATGGAGTCGCACTTCAAGGCCGCATATGAGACGACGCTTAGCAATTCTGCCCTTACCATCTCGTTCTTGGAGTGAAGACCATTTTTGAGTCCAGGGTAAAGCACCCTTAAAAATATACTTTCGTAGTCCACTCCTCCAATGCAGACGCGATCGACAAAGCGTTTCAGGGCTAAGGAAGCATTACTCCTTACAGTCAATTCCGCGGGATCTTGTATAAAATTGAGCATGTTGTATATAATAGGAAGCCACTGTTGACAAGATAGCGAAGAATGCAAGGTTTCGTTCAGTGTGGCAAATGCTGCTAGCCGCTGGTCAAAATCAGGTTCATCGATTCGTTTTGTCGAATACGCATTGAGGGACTCCATGAGCTCTGCAAGAGATGATAGCGATGTATCCACGCTAGACAGGCTACGGAAAGCAGCGACAAGGGATAATCGGGCCTGTCTCGATCGAAGGTTCTGGAACATATGCGCAAGAGCAGCATAAGTTCTCATGAAAATAGGCGAGTCCGAGGATGCCAGATCCGGTATGAGCGAAAAGAGATCACACAGGATATTCGTTATGTCCGTCTTCACTTTCTCTGGCACGATTTTCGTTGGTTTGCGCAGAAGAGGTAAAAATAATTCTAGCAGCATCCTGGCTTGATCCGAGTCTTCTAGATAGGGAGAGAGTTGAGAGAGAATGGCAATTTGACGTCTGCCGAGTGTATCAGAGAAGGACGAAGTGCCTTTCGTCCGATCGATCAATACGCTCATGTTCTTGAGTAGCAAAGATACGTGGGGCTTGAGCAATGCGTTACCCAGCCGTTCATCTTCAGCAGACAGTGTCAGAATCCGATCTACAATGTCAAAAATTTTGACGACGACAGTGGATTTGACATTTAACGCTATCAAGCAGTCGTATACTTTGGGAAGCGTCCGATTGTCGTAGTTCACGAGAAATTCTGCATGGTCGGCACGCAAAGACCACGTATAGAATAGTTCCAGGATAGCTGATGGGGCCTGAGTATTTTCAGCATCGAGGTTGGGCAGACGGGGTGAGATAAATGCACGGAATGCTTCTGGTAGATACGGGGTGAAGTCGTAGGATATGGGACAGCGGAAGAAGTCGGCAAACCGTTTCAACCCGAGCTGCCGCATAACACGAATGTTCCGCGAGGACCCAAGGACGTCGTCGGTGTCTCCGGCGGCTTCGTCAGTTTCTTCATCTTCCTCTTTGTCACATGTCGATTTTGATGACGTGATACGAGCTTGCGCAGTGCCCAGAATGTTAAGCAATGCCTCTAGAAGAGAGGGCCACTGAGTAGTCAGTCGTGAGCCCAAATGCTTCAGCACATCACCAAGGAGAGTGAGAAAACCGATCTGTTGGCGTTCCGATACGTCATTGGGTACGAACTGGATGACAAAAGACACTTCGTCTTTCGATTTCTCCATTGTTGTCAAGGGCTGTAGCATTAGATCAACCAATAGATGTAGCTCTTCATCAGTGCAGCCGGCCAGGCTGGGAAGAATAGCCGCACGTCGATCTGTGCCACGCGTCCGACCTCGCCTGTCTGACATCATCCCAAACAATATCCTGATGATAACTCCGACGAGCTCAGGCCGATCTGCTTGTTCGATGTCATTCATGTTCAATTGGGTCAGATCGTCTCGCCATTTTGTGTCGTCCATCAGAGAGCGTAAACGATCCTCGTGAGGCGAGAGACGCGGAGACTTGTAGGTGAGCAGACACGAAAGAGCTAGACGCTGCAGAGAACGATCTGGATGGGACAATAGAGTGATATACAAGGATCGCAATTGCTCGGTCGAGTGCAACGCTTTGGGGTTCACGAATTTTGAGAACAGGGTAAGCCAGGCGGACAACTTGTGGCGGGGTAGCTTCGAAGGGGATCCTGGACCGGCAACAGACAGGAAGAAAGGGATGATATCACGGTTGTGTTTCTCCACCAGCGAGCTACAGTCGCCCATCGCGAAAAGTAGCTGAGCTTCGTACATTGAGCAATCGAAGCGTTGGTCTGGAGTCTGCGACTGTTGGAGGATATGAATGAAATGTACATCCGAAATTAGGATAACGAACTCTACCTTGATAATTGCTCGCTTCGTAATCTTCCCATCATGCCACTTGCGGGTTACACTACGCAACTTATGAGCACTTGGATCTCTCCACGACCGTTCCTCTTCCCATGTATCATCTTCATTATCATCACTATCATTCATCCAAGGAGGACTTCGAACATCGACTGTGTCGCCAGAAGCATTTCGTAGTTGTTCGAACATTAGATGCCAGACGAGATCACCAAATCGTTCGGAGAGTATAGATAGCGCCCCCGCGGCAGCGGACCATAATGGCCGAAGATTGACTTTGAGTTGCGCTAAGAAGCTGAAATGAACATTTCATACAAGTTGACGAAGCAGAAATGCTGACCTATGAGCCATCGACAACAGATCTCTGCACTCACTTCGTCGCCGTCTTTCACGACTACAGGAAGTCGTGTGATTTTCAACGTTCGCTCTCGCGAGTTCTGCGCATCCAAAGGAACTTCCTCCGCTTGTAAGCAGCGCTTGACAATTTCTAAATTACTATCTGAAGATGAGATTAATGGCGATCCCAGAAGACTCAGAGCGCCCAGCCGCTGCCCCTGAGAATATGAAAGGAGCGAGTTTTGCAGTGATGTATACAGAGAATCGAATGGTACACGATACGCAGTGGGTTCACTGAAGAGGGATGAGTGACTAAGTGGCGGTATGTGTAGGATTCCTCACCTTGCTCGAATCAGAGAGATCAACCCGAATAATACATTGCTAGACCAGCTCCATCTTTCAGCTATTTTATTCGTCCATGCTATCAGGTCAACTCGAGCAGCCCTTTCAGCAGCTGGACAAATCGACAAGGATTGTAGACACGCTCCCAAAACCCACGCTGAATTTGCGAAAGATTCGTCAAACCTTAGATGAGTTTCCCGTGCGTCCAGCGTCCTGTTCACAACTTCTATTAAGGGACCTGTTATAGACTTAAGGAGAGATGAAAGCGCCAGGATGTCGTGCAGGATAAGTGCCTACAGATGAGAAAGAAACTCAGCGACAGATATAAACACGGCCCTTCTTTGCGCGTCAAACTTACGTTCTCCTCAGAATGTCGCCACTCCGTGATCTGTTCATCGACCCATGCCTGCAATTGTTGCCTCCAAACGATATCTACACCAGAAAACCGTTTTTCTTTGTGCAAGGCAACCAAAAGCTGTAAAGTCTTTTCTGGATGGCTCTCCAGCAGATCCGGAGTGTGCTTGAGTACATGCGGTAGCGCCATCAGCTTCCATCCACCCCAATCCAAACTTGCTAAAGCCCCACAAAGTTCAACCCCGAAAACAGGGCACTGCCACGCATACTCAAGCGCCTTTCGGCCGAGTCCCATCCAGAGCCCCATGTCGCCAGCTGTGAGGGCAGCCGCCAAAAATTTTAATAGGGACGGCTGAAACTCGTCCGTGAATGGAATTTCGACGAAGTGTGAGAGCATAGTCGTCAGATGTTGCGCAGTCAGTCGTGATCCTTGGCGGACTGCACACATAACTGTAGTAATCTCAAGCATGCCAGTGATTCGCAGACGATTAGCGTCATCTGCGATCGACTGTGTGCAGTCGACAAATTGAGCCACTACCACATCAGCAACAAAAGCAAATTGCTCTGCACCTTTGCAGTGGTGAATGAGAGCAGTAAGTACGCGGCGAACGAGGGTAAATGATGCATCTGGGGACGTGCTGTGGAGATGATTTCGTAGAAGAGACGCAAGGATAGATGCGGTGGTCGTGTGCAGTGTTTGCGACGCTGACTAGTTACAATATCAGCCTCTGAGTGCACAAAACTTATATGCGCAACTGACCTTACACGCAGAAACGAACATCCACGCGCAGGCATCTGCAAGCGGACCATCCACACTGTTCGCGATTAATACAACACATTCTCTCCGCGCAGGCGCCTTCAATCTCCGAAGCATTGTTCCCCAGATGTCTGCAGTTGCTCGCTGGACCTCGGGATTACACTGGGGAAGCACTCCGCGGAAGACTGACCATGCTTGGGCGAGTAGCTCTGAATCGACAGCAGGGATGAGAACGTACTTGAATAGGGCGGAAAAGGTTGCCAACAGTGCGGTGAGGGCAGGTGCAGATAGAGAACGCGGCAACAAATGTACGAGACGCATCAACACCTCGGGATACTTGGGCGCAAGAGTTGTGCGAAGGTCATGAGCAAGCTTCTGAAATAGACTTTCCAAGACATCTGAAAAGGTATATTGCAGGATCATCCGAAACACTCACTCCAAAAGTGCCTTTAACGCTTCGTCGTCCGCTTTCTCTAACGCAGCGAGCCAAAGCTCAACGACCGTATGCCAATGATAAAGTAAGAGAGGCATGGATGCTGACAATCCATTCACGTCATTGGCGTACGCGACGAATGCGGGGGAGAGGTTCAGTTCCCTCCAGTGCTGGAGTGCTTCATGGAAGTGTGAATCTGTGTCCTATAAAAGAACATTAGCAAGCTCTGATGTCACTGACAGCGTAGAAAAAAGTCCTCTACCGGAATATCCTGTTCAAATTTGCTCTGAATGAGAGCAGACGGCAAGTGCACCTCCTTCAAGGTATCCTTATACGACTGATGCTAAGAGCCGCTATGAGAGGACGCACAGAACAAGGAGTAATCGCATACCTTGAACCGCTTCGTCGGACGATCATTATCATGAAAGTCCATACTCCGAATAATACAGGGCAGCAGCGCTGAACAGTCGGTGAACGAGGTCCTGGTGAAATCCAAGATCTAAGATTCTTTCAGACTCAATTTGCGGCTTCGCGCATTTCTGAGTATCACGTGACTAGTAGAGTAAGGTTAAGGTTCAAATGTTTAAGATTCTACTTTTCATTACACAGTAAATAAAATAGATGAGCCTTACTGAGAGAGACTGTGAGACACTGAGAGTGAGATTCTCCATATTTATTTGCAGCCTTTGCTCATCAGCCTATAGGGATAAATTTAAAGCTGTTTCCTTACGTGCTCCTATTGAGCTACTGATTAAACACATATCCTTGCCATTTTTTCTGGCGTTTTAACATTATACGCGTACCATCACGTGGTGACTGATCGTTGTTATTGTTCGTGTTCTCGTTCGACGTTCGACGAAGTTCGTCACGACAAGCGTTCAAGCTTCAGGGCCTCAAGCAGGGCTTCATTCGACTTGTTGAACGGAGGCTTATGTTCGCGTTTTATGTCGACCTCCAAGGCCATATTTTATAAGTTTGGCATATCCAGAGCACGAGCTGCGATTTAGTGCGTCAGTCTGTCATCTCGATGAAGATGCCATTTCTCCCGTCTGATCACTCTGTGTGCAGATTACGGCGCAGACCTAACTGGTGACGGAGTTGGACACATCGCTCTTTCAACGTTCGCTCCGTAAGTACTGTCATTCCAGGTGAGATAAACCCCTACTCGGCTTTCAGTATAGCTGATCGCAACAATAGAGTCCACCTGTTCACCCTTTTATTGACCCGAAATCCATGTCTTCGTCAGCTTCAGCAACCTCCATTACCCCATCACCTTCTGCTACACCTTCCTCATCCGGCTCAAATGTCACTGCGATTGCCATTGGCATTACGGTGGGCATAGTCGTCCTGATGGTGGCTATCCTCTTATTCTGGTACCTACGGCGGCGCCGTCTCCACGCGGTTCCGACCCAGTCGCATCCTTCGGTCAGGAGCAGTACCGCTCTCGACCTCAGTCATCCTGCATGCCGTGTCACACCCTTTGGGTCGCCTAGCGGCGACACATCTTACTTCGGTAAGCCTACATCTAATTGTCATTCATTTTCTTAACTCCATTTCGTACCAGTGCACGAACCAGGCGTCAACATGCGCGTCGCTCACAGACTACCTGACGGCGGATGGGAGTTTTCCGAAATCCCGTCAGACAGTCCTGCGACGCTCGAGTATACTCTTCCGCGACGCCTCTCGTTCTCCGCGCGCTCGACGCTAAGCTACTCATCCAAAGAAAAGCTCAAGTTACAGCCTGGAGAGCTTACCACGCGTGGTTTTGTCGAATCTGATACCGACGCAGATGACATCCCTCCGCCTGCCTATTGTCACACCGAACATTCTTGCGGTGAGGTGTAGTGGATGTACATCTTGGCCATTAGTATGCTCTTTGATATGTTGTCGCTTTTAGTTACGTACTCCGAATCGTAGGCTTACTCGCACTTCTTTGTACGCACGCCCTAGTAGGTTTGCTCGTAGTTGTTTGCTTTCCGTTCTGTTATGCTATCTCAATGGATACGTGTTTATGGTATTGCACTAGCAAAACTGGGTGATCTAGCTCACATTGTACCCACCCCAGACATTACCTGCGGTCATGATTCAGGAAGTAAGAATCTTGTCTGGCTTTATTTAATTCATGTGTTGTGACTCCGGCTCTTGCATGTGTCAGACGGTGGTCTTCGTAAGTGTGAGATACGGTTGTGCTTCGACTGACGAAAATATGTCTATCCTGGTTATCATTGTGACCATGCAAGTTCTAAAAGCTTAGTGATCAGGTTATTGACCAATGACAACTGACTCTTGCCTTACCATGGCATTGATTGCATGAACTTGGATGTGTAATCTTGAGCAAAAAATGTTGGCTAAAAAAACTTTCTAGAAGTTGCTAAGTTCTACTGCAAAGAAATCATCTTTTTATGGCATCAAAATGCACTCTGAATGCACCAGAATGGTGCAATAGGACTTTAAATGAAATTATGTTGGAATTTAACTTTTTGACCATAATTGAAACCTTTTCCTTTCCAAAGCTGCAAAATGTGCGTTTACTAAGCCATACTTGTGCGTCGCGCGTCTTTGCTCCCAGTGGAAAGTGACATTAATTAAATCGAGATACTGGGTCACTCAACGAATCGCGTTGAACACGCGTGAAGAAAGCTGAATTAGGTAATTTTTGCCAATTTGGCTTATCGCATTTTTTCTCATTGGGTGACACAGTTTCTCATTTTAATTCATGTCGATCGTCACTGGGCTTTGCTCCTTAGCCCGAATACTACAGAGTCTATCTTCCGACTCGTCCGCTTGTTTAACAAGAATGACACTGAAAAGACATTGTAGAGGTGCCAACTGAATTGAGTTGGCTTTTTCTCTCTTGCAAAATGGATCATTCCCACTAAGGGAATGGTCATTTCTTTGCTGTGCTTGGGTGGCATTACATAGCTAGAAAAAAAAAACAGAATTCAGCAGAAAGAATTTGTGCTGATCCCGATGCATAATACTCATTACGTAATAAGGTTGAGCCACTTCTCTCTTGGTGCGACTCCGGGAGCTGCACGTCTCTAACTTTCCTTTTGATCGATTGCGCATTGATACACCTGATCATACGGCTGAAGCCAGTGTTTCTGGAAAGACAGATATGGCCGCATTCATGAGCTACTTTGGTGGGCGCCGTGATCCGAAGGAGTCGTCAAGAGATGCTATTGTTACACTGCGGCAGCAGCTGCAGATGATAGACAAGAAAGAAGAGTATTTGCAGAAGAAGATTGATGACGAGTTGAAGAAGGCGAAGGCAAATGCTGTGGCAAATAAGAATGGTAAGCAGCATCCTTTGCGTACCGGGACAGGATCATTCATTCCGGAACTATGCACCTTCGTCACCTACGGCCAATGTACGGTTGATGTAGCTGCGACAGCTGCGCTACGACGGAAGAAGGCCACGGAACAAGAACTGGACCGACTGCAGGGTACGCGGTTTCAGCTAGAAATGCAGGTCAACACATTAGAGTCAGCGAGCTTCAATGCGGAGACTATGGCGGCGATGAAGCAGGCGAACATTGCATTGAAGCATATTCACGGCGCAACGTATGTACGACGCATACGATTCTTAGCCAACGTACTTATACTTCAGTCTAGGTCAATTGACACAGTTGACCGGACTGTAAATGAGATTCAAGAGCAGACACAACTGGCCAATGAGATCTCGGAGGCGATTTCTACTAGCGCGTACACTGGTGTGGAAATTGACGAGGTTAGTGCCTCACTCCTTGCGCGCATCATCACTGACATCATCTCAGGACGAGCTGAAAGATGAATTGGCTGAGTTGGAGCAGGACGAGTTGAACGAGCGTCTTATGGGTGCAGATCATGTTCCTGCACACCAACCCCCGGGAACAAGTAGGGTTGCGGATAGTGGGTGTCATTATGGATTCCAGCCGATAACTATATCAATCAGGACGCTACAGGTCGTCAACCAATTGCAATAGAAGATGACGAGGAGGCGCAGCTTAGAGAACTACAAGCAGCCCTCGCTATGTAGCCTGAACGTCCCGACATTCCCTTCATTTTTGTCGGTTCCCTCTGTGCCTGACTAATATCTCCCACTACGCTACTATTCTGGGCCCTTCTTCTCTTGTCTTATTAGTGCTATTCTAGCAACCAACGACGGCACATTGTACGTTCTTGCATCCAAATTTCTCTAGGTGTTATGCGATTTTGGTTAACGACAAAAGGAAATTGGCATGAACAGGTAAAGTGGATTGTGTACATATATTCCACAAGTAGATCTTCGCAAGCGCTGTACTCTTCCGGTATGACACTGTAAGGATCCATGAAGTTGACTACGGTAAGTCCACTGTCTAAATTATCTGAATGTATCTTCCTACGGTAGTCATCCGATATGTTTGGAATGCATTTGCATAGCCATAATATCTTTACAGTGTGACGAATACATTCAGTACCCGCTGCTGGTAGGGATAATCAGACTATGTGAATACTGCTGATATCAGGAAGATAAGCCTATTGTCCTCCAACTTCTTGATGCTTGTTATATTAATCCTTCATCCTTCAAATAAGACATTAATAGCGTAGGATCCAAGCACGTACGTAAGTATGTATCAGTGGTGCAGACACCGACACAGCCGTTCATTTCTGGCTTAGACACGGTAGTTTCACCCATATCTCGAGCTGAACATGAGCGCTTTAAGCTCAGGTATTGATGCTGGATGGTTAGTGCCAATATGTGAAATCATGCAAGAAGAGTCAATGATTATTGGCCATTAAGTAGGGGATCTGTTGTACGTAACTGTGAGAGTCTCCCTTAACGACCCCTTCGACCCCTTCTGATTTCTAGACGAAGTTTGTGGCCTCGTCCCCAGACGTTTCCATTCCTCTGCATCACAGCGTACGATGCACCCGTGCTGCGATATCTATCATTGCTGCCACTTCGGTTATGTTAGTACTACACATTTCTTTAACATCATGCATCTTCCCACCTCTTTGATTGGCTTTGCATGGGCATTCTTAGTGACGACGTCAGCAGCCAAACTGATATGTATCATCAACTCCAATCAGTTCTACCCTACCCACCACCTGTTGTTGACACAATGCATGTAATCTTGCCAACAAAAGTCTGCCTACACCCATGGACTTTTCTCAAAATGCGAATGATACATGAACGAATATATGTCATGTCAGTTGTACCAATCCAAGTCACCACAAACACGTCTCTGGGTAATCACTTTGACGGAAAGAGGACGAGGAGGATATATTGGCGAAAGCGCTACAGATACGTCCCAGGTATGATCTATAGATTAGGCCAGACAAATTGGTGGGTATCATTATCATATATCTGCAATACCGACAAAGCCTTTCAAATGCAGCCTACGACAATGAGAAACAGAGACGGCATACGACTGAGAACCAGATTTATTACGATAACAAGCACACTGATACGAAGAGTAAACCAGCCAGACCGTGACAATAGCGCGAAGGATGTTAGTCCATGATGCAAACAAATCTGTAACAATGAGTCCTCGCCGACCGTGTCGAAAATGATGCGAAGTCCTCGCGAGACAAACTACCACTCCAAAAATATCACGTTACAAGCTCATAATCGCCGCAATGCCGACGCCAACAATCACAGCATAACTTATTTTTAGGCTTTGTTCCGCCGCCGAGCTTGTCGTGCTCGGCCCTGCGCCAGAATTAGTTGGAGAGGCCTGACCGGATGAACCTGACGTAGCAGCCGAAGATCCGGTTGAAGAAGAGATAGTTGAGGAAGGTGACGAACTGGAGACAGAAAATGTAGACGTGCTCAGTGTAGAGGAAGGAAGCGAGGTAGTAGCGAAGCTGATAGATGTGCTGGTTAACGCAACCGCGCAGAAACGGTTAGCGAGACCTTCAGCAGTGGATAAACTCGTGGGACATCCCGCTGCCATGCAACTTGTCAATTTCGAGGCGAAGATTGCCGAGCTGAAGATGTGTGAATATGCTGTCCCATTTGCATGGCATATGGATCACGTACTTTGTACTCGAACAGAAACAGTTTACATCGACAATGCTGTTGCAACCAGCAACTGCAATTGCTTGCGCTAGACACCCGTCCACTACAAGCCGTCCATGAATATAGGATTGGTTAGAAAATGAGGACTTGAGCTTGAATGTCTCGCTTCCGGAATGTCATTGTAGAGGCTCACCGCAAGACGAATAGCCACTTAAACTGGGATATGAAGCCGTGCTCGTGGAAGAGGCGTTCACACTACCACTACTACCCACACCCAAAGTCAATGTCGCGGTTCCAGAAACTGCGGCCGAGGAACTCGACGAAGACGAGGTCACCGTGTTCGAGACTGCAACAGCTGAAAGGAACACAGACAAGAAAGAAAGCAACAGCGACGCGGGGAGAACAACGAACATAGTTGTGGATGATGACAAGGACAAAAGGAAGGGATCTTTTGGAGTGGCAAAAGCAACCGAGTAAGAGTTTAGAAGGTTGGCAGTCGTAGCAAGGCCGCCCAAAGTGGAGCATCCAGCGGCGTCGATGGGAAAGTAAATGTATTACTTCGATGATAGTATGTAATATTTACCTGCCATTTGCCTTTCAAGCAGCATCAAGCTTCGAGCTTGCTTACAAAGGTGTATTTTACAAGCTCACCCCATTTTTCGTAAATAACTTGTCAGTGTACATAACCAATCCAAAGGATATCAATGCATTTCCTTCCTGCGGCCATCGGTGACCGCAGTGGTGCATGCGCAGTTCAACGTTGTCTTGCCAGTGCGCCACGAGCACTGCAGTGAACGACGGCGAGTTCCAGCAGCTTTTCAGCATATAGTTTTATTCTACTTGAATCATTTCTCCTAGAATCGAGCATCTTCTGCCCCTAAGCACGTGCTTGCGACACGATGAATCAAAATTAAAGCACAGGTAGGTTCTGTATGAGCCCCTTCTTAAGGACTGCGTAGTATGTATATCCGAGTTTCCAAATCTTCTAGCTGCTTTCTTTCAACTTCTCCCTCAGTGCTGTGAATTGTATGTAGATAGCAACCGCTTTGATGAATAGAGTTTACGTGCTCGAATCATTCGCTGCACGTACGGTGGCATGAGGTAGGAAACAATTCAGAAAAGCATCCAAAGCAAGATACATTAGTAGGGATGCCAATCTCAGTACCCTAAGCAGCTCAGGAGCTAGCCTACATATAACTAATACTCAACTGCATCATCGTCGTCCGCGTGCATTGGAACCGGTGCATTCTCCTCTTTGTCCCCATGCGTCTTCTCCGGTCCAATTGTACCAGCACCAGAATCGTCTACATCCATCTTGATATCCTCTCCACCGCTTGTATTTCTGCTGCCGTTCTGCGCTGACTGACTCACCTCAGCTTCGGGTGGGCCCCCAGGCCCAGACTTAACATTCTGGTCTGTTTCTTTCTGTTCTGCCTGGTTTTGGCTACGCTCATCGTCGACGTCACCGTCATCCAATGCTTTTGCGTTGGCAGACTTTGTGCGTCCTTCTTCTTCTGCAACGCGCTGACGCAAGCGGGTGATATCTGCAATACCTGCACTGCGCTCGGCTGCAAAATCTGCCCATTCGCTTTCGACAGCGATTCTGACCTGTGCATAGAGTTATTTTTGAACGTGATTGAGAATTTATGAAGGGTGGAGCAAAATGAGTAATCAAATGTATACAATAAAGGGCAGTCACGTCGAACAAAGGTTGAAAGCGACCTAGACATGAATGTAACTTACCTCATCTTTCCGTTTCTTCAAAAAGGCTTCTTGCGCTGATGTAAGCACAGCAGGTCGGTAATACAACGGTGGGGGGTGTGCGCGCGGTGGACCCGACAGCGCAGTTGTACCTGTGGCTCTCGCGGGCTTCGAAATTCCCTCTGAAGAAGGATCTGAGTCCATAGTAGTAGACTGAATTTCATCCAGTGGAGATGATAAGGAGTCAAGTTCGGGTATAATGTCGGACGTAAGGAGGAAGTTGGCGAGGAGGGGAAGCCGCGTACGGCGCATTTTATACTGTTCAAATCACCATTGAGAATATTCAGTGAAGGCCATAACCTCAGGAGCGACCCGACCGTTGGGAACACAGAATGAAGTAAGGAGTGTAGGGACCTACAATGGAATCTCGAAGCTGTAGCTCTTCTTCCTTGCGATTCGCCGCTGTCTTATCCTTCTTTGCTTCCTCAGCACGCCGGACACTATCGGTCTCTGCCTTTAGCTTCTCCTGCAGCCGCTGCTCGATCAGCTGGCGTTTTTTAGCCTTAAGATAGGTATAATAATTATTCAGAGTAGAATCTTCGTAAAGATGCTAACAGAACACACCGCTTCGCTCGAATTCCGTTCCTTGTCCTCGTTCTTTGCCCTTGTCAAAGTACCCACGACGAGTCCAAACATAGACTTGCCACGTTTGCGCTGTTGCGACGACTCGATCCCCATTTCAATCCGTGGTCGCTTTCGCCCCTTCTGCAAAGATTCATCTACATCGGCTGCATTTTGAGCATCGGTATCTGCTGGCTCCGTGTTAGGGTCCATCATTGGAGTATCCGTGTCTGGGGTTTGCTGCGGCTGGAGTCTGCAAAAGGTGAGCATTGACATTATGCAGCAACTCAATAGAGGACGTACGATTCTGTGGCCATTGCTCCTTGCAATCTTGTGTCAAATTGCAGTAAGATCCACAAGTTGGTAGCGGGACATTGCAGCCTGTAAAGGCAGTATTAAGCGCTCATGCACATGTCGCACGCTCACATTGTGAACGCGCGCGCGTTACACCGCGTATGCCGCAACCTGACCGACTTCCAACGTCAAGTCATCATGCCGGCGAAGTCTACTATGCGTCCGTCAACGATTCGAAGTTCTGCGAAGTCTCCGCCAGAAAAATCTATATCCAACAAAGCGACGCACTCTAGGCAGAAAGTAGCACATAAAAAACAACCACCATCGGATGTCGAGCGGCTGAAGCGCCTTTTCACGTCCCTGTGTGCACAGGTTGACGGTGGACATTTTGCTAATGCTATCAAGACCTGCGAAAAGAGTAAGTGTATTGATCTGATCTCTAGGACATACCACTGACAGACTGTAGTCCTTCGCATCGTTCCTCACGATCCGGATGCGTTGCAGACCAAGATATTCTTGCTATTGCAAACTGATCAATATGTTACGGCTTTGTCCCTCTTAAATGATCTAAGCAATGCTCAAGATAATCTGAATAAACCATTCGCATATGAGAAGGGCTATTCGTTATATCGACTACATCGCGAATCCGATGCTATGGGCGTTCTGAATAACATCAAGGCAGAAGCTGGAAGCGACGAGGACAACAGAGGGGTTATCCATCTCGAGGCTCAGCTGGTAGGTCTTTTAACTGGATGTTTTGTGATTATGCTTCAATTTCATTCAATCGCTAGGCGTACAGAGAGGGGGAATATCAGATTGCCTTTGACCGGTACAACACACTATTGGACACCGCCGAACCTGTGAGGTCTTTTCTGCCGATGAGTACTTAACATTTGCTGACTTAATCCGCCACAGCATTCCGACGAGCAAGCAGATATCCTCACAAACCTTTCCGCGGCACAAGCACATGTCGATTTCCTGACATCTGGCTTCCTATCTGCACTATCCTCACTTCCCTCATCAGTCTCCGAGTCGCTCGAATCTGTGCCTCCGCCTGCTCCTGCTGTATCTACAGTAATTGCTCAGAATCTGTCTGTGCCATCTCAGTCTCAGCCGCAGGGGAAGAAACCTCGAGCACGACGTATCCCTAAGGGAATTGTAGTTGGGGTCACCCCCATGCCTGATCCAGAGCGATGGTTAAAGAAGAGCGAGCGGACGAGTTATTTGCATTCTCACGGGAAACGGAAGGGAAGAGGTGCTGGAGGGGGCGCGACGCAGGGGATCGTAGAGAGTCCTGCTATTGCAGGAGCCACTGGGGCAGGCGGAGGAAGCAAGGGCAAGAAAAAGGGCAAGAAGTAATGAGGTGCGTTGTACACATGTTCCATATTGCCCGCTTCTACTCATAGGCGAGCCTCATTGCAGCTCTCCTAAGCATTGGTGGGTTTTCTGTAATCCAGCAAATCTGATACTAATTTGCCATGATGCTGCAGCCATCTTTCGATCTTTTGTTTGCAGCGAACTAACAAGGTTATGAGCTGCGGCGGTAATGACTGCATCTTCTTTCGTAGTGGTTTGCATTATGACTTGCTTCCAGAATCACCATAAGCGGAAATGATGAAGGGCGGCACTCCAGTAATCTGCTCGTTATTCCTTTCAGTGCCACCAACGCCCCGTTGTGTCTCGCCACGCCGTTCAAACGTTCATCGCATACCTTCTGTCACGCAGAGCCAATATCATTGATCCAGTGATCTGGCAACGCTCTTCTGTCTACCTGCATATATTCATGCCAATTAAGTGAGTAAGGTGTGAGTAGGTCAATGTAGACACTACGAAGCGTTTTGCAATCAATCTGTCGTTTTGAGATGCCATCAGTGGTGATCTAGAAATTTCAGGTGAGTGTCCGTCTTATTTTTGCGCCACGCAATGTTGACACTGTTCATCACTGTCAGTTTCAGCCTACAGTCACTGCCCTGCCAAGCATGGGCATATTTCAGTAACGTATGAGATGGCGCGGAAATAAATCCGAGAAATTGGTGTCTTAGATCGTGGGAGCCTCGATCTCATCCTGCCTACCTCGTGGCACTTTCAACGTTCCTCCATTCATGCGGAGTCATTGGACCACTGGACCAGACTCTGCACTGTTTCCACCGCACGTGGATTACGCATGTCTTCCTGCCACAACTTGCCCGAAGCATTTCGTCTGTTACACGCGCATGACAGCCCGCAGCATGGCGCTGCCAATATTACACACCTCCCATCATATCCTGATACTAGCTGTTCTGAAGATTTTGATTTTGGGATGTCATGTCTCTCAACAAGCATAGGCCCTGTACACCTTCGGATACTCCAGATTCCATTTCTACCTGCAACATAATTGGATTGAGAAGATGTGTATAGTTCGAGTCATGGAAATATTAGAAAGTAGGTAAGCGAGGCTCCTCGAGGCTCCAGGTCGTCTCAGATCTGTCTCGTATACAGACGCAGGACTTGCTGTAAGGGCTAATCCATGCCGAGATAGAATGGTTTGCAACCTTAGAAGCAATTGAACAACAATACCGAAATCTTAAGAGGGAAAATTTTTATTTCTCGTTTTCGCACTGCGCGTCTACGAGCCCTCGAGGAATCCTCGAGGTGTCTTCTGCCGCTGCATTTTTTGCGTGTGTCCATTCCTTCTGACATGTCCGTATGAATCACACTGATGTTCTCGATCAAATTGGTGACTAGTATCTTACCGGGCAGATACGCGCAAATAATGACATGTAAAGTTCCATCGGGGCTACCTTTTACATCGGATATCAACACTACTGGAGCTGTAGCTCCGTGGCGGGGATTAAGCAGCTAGAATGTTGTTGAAGCCTGATCTCATATTCTCAACACGTGGATCGAGATCTGCACCTTAGGATTCCACCGCCTTCACGTTTCTCGTGGGCGCTCCGCAGCTAACCTCCCGGCTAGGTCGCTGGTTCTGTCAGTCTTAGGCACATTGGTGGTGTTCCCGTGATATTCCCGTGATACAGCTTCAATTCATCCTGCACGTCTTTTCCCGGTGGAAGACTGATTTACAATTCCAGAGAGCGCACACCGCCGGTGTTTCAATGCGGAGCTATGCAGGGCCAACACATTGTCCCCTCGCGCTCCTCGCTGAAAGAGCCTGACGTGACACGCGCAACACAATGCCTTTTCGACGCACACGCCCTGGGCTTGCTTAAAAGTCCAAGGCTCGTCCAGTTTTTCGTTGGGAAACGGCCTCTTTCACTACTCCTATCTGTCGCTTGTGTATCGCAAACAATGTCTCACCCTGAAGTACTCGGTGTTGTTGTTCTTGCCCGTAACGGTGACCGCACGGAAGCATACCAGGACCCGATTACCTACGAGCCCGGTCCCACGCTCAGCACTCCTTTGGGAGAGGTATGTAGCAATGATAACAGTTGTTCATAACTTGCATTTGATATGATATGATATTGATCACTTAGGTCCAATCCCACCAACTTGGCGTTTATCTACGCGACACGTACTTCAACACCGATAACCCGTCGCATGTTCGCGGGATTAGGACCGATCTTGTCGATCTGAGTCAAGTCCATGTGCGTGTCAAAGTAGGCGCAGAAGGAGCAGCAGTCTTCGATTCCGCCACTGCGCTCCTGCAGGGGCTTTTCCCGCCCAACCCGGCCAACCGTATCACACTCGCTAATGAGACGACTGTAGTAGCCCCTCTTGGAGGCTACCAGTATGTTCCAGGTGCGTCAAGTGTTACTTTTACAGGATATGCACTGACAGAGAACGCAGTCGAGACCGTGGAGCCCAGCAACGACCGCTCCTTGGAGAGCTGGACGGACTGCCCAGTAACTTGACCCAATATTTTCTTCATTGATAGACTCTTACGTATTACCATCCTCAGGCGTTTGAGAGACATGTCAGGGCCGTTCAAGCGTCATCTGAATTCAAGAAAGTGGAGAAGCACGCGGGGCATTTCTTTAGCGACGTCCGCGACTTTGTATTTGGAAGGGCAGCTTCGCTGGAAAATGCGGTATGTCTTCATGCATAGACCGGGTTTGTGAGTATCCATTAATGCGCATTTTCTTTTGCCATATTGTTAGTACAACGTAAGTGCTCTATCAGTCCTGGGTTGCATACGTTTCTTACCAATACTCTACAGCTTTGGGACTACATCTCGACAGAACTGACTCATAACAAGACCTACGCTCACCGACTTCCTCCCACTTTCGTCGAGCAGGCACGTGGACTTGCTAACTTCCGCGAGAACCTCGTCTTCTCCGACTCTGAGATGGGCGGAATCGGAAACAGTATGTTCATCCTTTGGCACACAGCCATAAACTGGATTACTGATTCAATCATATCATAGTTGCTGGGAGGACTGCGCTGAGCTCCATCATTGGCGCTCTCCAGCGGATTGCTTTCAATGGCGACCCCCTCCAGTTCATGCTTGTTGAGACAACGTACCAGCCTTTCATTTCGTTTTTCCACATGACTGAGGCAGTAGACGCTTACCCGGAGCTTGCCGCTATCCGTACGTTCGAATCTGTCCCTGAAAAGATATTCCGGTGTCTCATCCTACCTCAGCTGACTACGGCTCCGCTCTCGCCATCGAACTCCGCCGAGCCCGCGCCCCAGACGTGCGCGATTTCTTGCGCTTCAAGTTCAAGAACGGCACGAACGAAGACTTTGAGACTATCCACGTCTTTGGGCACAAGGAGGACGTTCCGCTCACCGAATTTATCTACCGCCTTGAGGCAAGATTACACTACACTAATTCTCCCTTATCAGCTGACTTTGACTTCAACAGAACTCGGTAATAAACAGCAACCGCGAGTGGGCAAAGGCATGCGGATCCAGCTCGTTCTGGCCCGAGCTGACGGAAACTACCGCAAGAACCAGCCCTTTTGTCACTGCAGGGTGTGGTATTGTTTCCGCCTTCATCTTAATGCTCGCATTGTGGTTTGTATCCAAGTCGATCAAGAACTTGAGACGTTCGAACTACGTCCGTCTACAGAGTGAAGAGGTAATGCATTTGTCTATTAAGTGCAGTATCTAGTGTTGAATCAGGCTTCCATACAGGAGCTTCACAGCGCTAGTGCTCCCGTAGCCGGTGAGAAGCTCGCTGAGAGGGCGAGTCTTCTGCGGTCTCTCTAGACGTCTATCTCCACTACGTTACTTGGACATTACCTCATCAAACGGACCGTCATCTATCGTTGTTCAAGCTGACTCATCCACGTTGTTTGTCTATGTAGGATCATATGTGTGACATATCTGTACCTTGATATTATTTTATAACTGCAGTCGCGAGGCGGCTGAACACAGACTTGTTGCATAACCTAGTTTCAATTTGTTCATATCTGCATCTTGGAGTTTTCTCGAATAGGATGCGTCTTCATGTCCAGATTCGCCGATCCGGAGATCGTGGAAGGGAATTCTGACCTATGAACGAATACTATTTCGGAACTATACAAAAGTATCAACTTAGCTCGGCCTAAATTCTACACGAACCTACGCTGATGTATAGGTACTGATCCCGGAAGAAACGCTTATCTACCGGTTGGATGTGCCAGTTCAAGCCGATACTTAGACACGCACGAGCAAATTCGATGATGATAGATCGCTTAATATGTATAGCGTGTGCGCAGTTGGATATGGAGCTTTGGAGATAAAACTTACCTGAGGGAGGCGGGCATGAGCTAAAGAGAGATACTGGTGGAGGTACTCGGCCCACACTTTATCATATAGTTCTCATGAATCGGATGCATGGTATACAATGCGCACAGTCGTTTTTGAACTTGACGATGATAATATCAATTTGAACGGCGCACTTGTCAACAGGATGCCAGGCCTTCAAATTCCTCACAAGAATTAGCTTGCAGGAAAGCCAATTTTGTTGTGTACGATCTCAATAGTACGAAACCTTTCGATTTGCGCATTTTACTCAAGGCTTTGAGCTTCAAGCTTCATTTTGAATTTCCGTAAGATACGCTGTGCAGGTACTCGTTCAGCTTAGGAACATGTATTAGTACGACTTGAACTTACACATAACAATAAAATGATATGGCTGTAATAGGCAAAGGTCTACGTTCAGTAGGTCGCCCTAGGTTATACATTCCGATATACTGTACGCATGAAGTATGTCCTGCTTCTATAGCAGCACAATGCAACGGCGATGGTAATGATCCGATATTGTTGAAGCTGCGGCGGCCAACTCGGTGCTGATCTGACTTTAAGTGTCATTTACTTGAAGCGCCCAATCAAAAGTTAGTAAATCGACTTCTTGTTTCCAAGACATGTCTAAGTATGAACGCCCACGCGTATTGTTCGTGAACACGCACCTGCAATGCGCTATGTCATGTGGACCATAGCATACTATACTTGTTCTGCCCAGCTGGTAGGTCTTTTGTGGTCTCGGGGCCCTTCGTAGTGCACGCAGCAGTAGCTGTACGAGAATAATGTTGCATTCGGAAGTCATCGGCGCTGTCGTCCTCGCCTGCAATGGGGACAGGACAGCAGCATACCAAGACCCAATAACGTATGAAGCCGGCCCAACCCTCACCACCCCTCTTGGAGAGGTATCGTCATACCAACTGTACACGCAGCATTTCCAGTCTCACGAACCTACTTTCAATCTACAGGTCCAATCCTACCAGCTCGGTGCACAGCTACGAGATATTTACTTGGACCACGACAGCCCCTCACGCATCTTCGGTGTCGATGCTGACCTTGTTGACTTCAGCCAAATCCATGTAATCATCAAAGCAGGTGCAGAAGGTCCGGCAGCTTTCAGCTCTGGCATGGGGCTCCTGCAAGGGCTCTTCCCTCCAAGCACAGATCATAATATTCTGCTCTCTAATGGAACCAAGGTTGTCGCGCCTCTCGGGGGCTACCAATACGTCCCAGGTAGGCTTTGTGGTAATTTTATTGGGATTGGTTCTTATGTTGATTTTGTTAGTTGAAACAGTCGACCCGAGCAATGATCACTCTCTGGAAAGCTGGATAGACTGTCTTGTGAGTTGTCGTAAATTAGTATTCAATTTTTGTATTTTCTTTTGATCTGGCTGGTGATGTAGGCGTTCGAAAAGCATGTAAAGGAGGTGCAAGAATCGTCCGAATTCATGCAAGCTACAAGGGCATCGCAGCAGTTCTTCAACGTGATGCAAGATTTTATGGTTGGAAGAGCTGCTAGCTTGGAGAATGCGGTACGTTCTACGGCTAATACTGTAAGACCAGGCCGACAACTTATGGATCTATTGTTCCGATTCTATCAGTACAACGTTAGTAAGCGCATGCAAAGTTTCAAAGCGCCACTAATGATTTTCCTCTAGCTCTGGGACTTCGTCTCAACCCAGCGCACTCATAATATGACCTATGCTTATCGTCTTCCTCCTACTCTCGTTGAACAGGCGCGAGGATGGGCCAACTTCCGAGAAAATCTTATCTTTTCCGACCCTGAGCCGACCGGGATTGGGAATAGTAAGTATGCTCATGTGATTTCCGTTCCCAATTACTCACCGTCGTATTGAACTGCTAGTAGCAGGTCGAACTGCGCTCAGTCCTATAATCGGCTTCCTCCAGGATATCGCATATAATGACGAGCCTCTCAAGCTCATGATCATCGAGGCTACTTATCAACCTTTCATATCGATGTTCCACATGACTGGAGCAGTAGACGCTCTTCATGCGTTAGCTGGAATTCGTGAGTGAGCCATGATAGTCGTGAATACTTCAATAAATCTTACGTTCGTCCAGCTGACTTCGGGTCTGCTCTTGTCATTGAGCTCCGGCAAACGCAAGACGCAGACACGCGCCACGCCTTACGTTTTAGATTTAAGAATGGCACTGTCAAGGATTTTAGAACTTTAGAAATCTTCGGGCACAGGGATGACATCCCGCTTACTGAGTTTATCTTTCGTCTCGAGGTAAATCTGACAATGTATGCCGTCATGTATGCTGAACCACTCCTTCAAATAGACCTCGATTATCAACACTCGCGATCAATGGGCTAAATCCTGTGGCGTTCGCTCGCTCTTGCCCGAGCTGCAGGGGGCTGCCGGTAGACCCGACGTCGTTGTAAAGGCGGGATGTGGTGTCGCGCTTGTCTGCATCTTGACGCTTGCGCTGTGGCTGCTGTATAAGGCCAAATTTGGAAGCGCTAAGCATTTAACCTATCTTGAATTACGGGATGAAGAGGCCGCAGCGGACCTGTTTCCCATCAATATCTTTGACTCACCATGATACACAGGAAGGTCACGTAGACAGTGATTTTTCGGTCGCCGAGAAACTGATCGACACAACGCCTGCCCCGCATTATGTTTGAACAGTGACGTATCATTTACTCTTCGTTCGTCTACGTTGTACATTACACAACTGATATTCATAACTGTTCGGTGAACCATTTCTCAATAAATGTCATTTAGCACCAGAACTACACGCAATGTCATGCGTCGATATCCATACATAGGCTGTCGCCTAAGAATCAGCTCGCTTGCTTATAAGGTGGATCGCTGAATTTTAGCCTTAAAAAGCAAGTATGTTCGTGAGCAGCGCACCCAGATCGTCCACTTCGTGCAGCGCGATGCGCTGCTGCCTTTCACTATGTATGAGTAGTCCCGGAAGGAGAGATAGTCACTGGCATATGCGAATAAGGCGGTGGTACTGAATGGAGGCAGTTTCGAACGTAACTGTGAGCACAAGTATTATAAGTGCATGTCGCGTTTGCTTTTAATTTTAAATGATTTCGTGGCGGGTTCGTTCTGTGTTTCAAAGGTCTCGCGACTGAGTCACTACTGTAGTACTGTGTACACATGCTAGATCTCTCAGGCCCTACTTATTACATGATTCTGAAGGATAGGTGAATCACGTGACTCTGATTAGTGGTCCGTGCGTGCGAAGAAGTGGGCTGAGCTAGGAGGTCTTGTCCGTGACGCACCCTCCGTCGCGATCTGTCACCACCACACCGCCGTGACGCCTGCGGCCATGCCGTTCTCTCTCATCGTTCCCGACGACGTTAACGCGCGAAAGGACATCGTATTCAAAGGAAAATCCACAAGATCATGGCATCAGCTGCCTGCAGAGATTATCCGGTGCGTCGCTGTGGCTCACACCGAGCAGGATGTTGTTCACACTGTCGCGCCACCCCGCCACAGGTTGATTGCGACCTACCATCTCCTCAACGTCGCGTCGACGGCAATTTATCCTGCAACGTGGGCTCATAGAGACTTTTGGCCGTCGCGATTCGTCTTTGGCCTCCTCCACGATGTAGCCGAGGTGGAAAAGCTCATGTGGGTTTGGCCGACATGGCATATTGCTCGTAAGTCGTGTTTATGTGCTTAACTTGCCGGTTCTTGTGGCTTTTGTGCATATTATTTCGGATGTGTATATGCATTGTTGCATCCGAGAATAGTGTAGTACAATGCATGGTACGGACGTCGATCTCTATCCACTTCAAATACCCCGCGTATGTGCTCTGTTACGATGCACGATACCTCATCCATAATTTGCGATGTGTGAGAGAGATGGATAAGGATGATGATAGCTAGCGATCCAACATTTCTGGCTGGAGTTCTCATTAATTCGGTGCTCGTTTTGCGCGTATGCTTGATGCCGACACTGACTGTATTTTCTCCCAGTCGAGACTCATCCCTTTTGGCGCCATGCGTGCATGACTATTGATCCACACGACGCTCTCATTCAACACTCGGTCATTCGCCCCGCTGGTGCCGTAGGATCAGCGCGAGGTTACGTGCGCTTGTCTCCGTACCAACATTTTCGAAACGTAACCAACTGGTCGTGCATAGTTTGCCGAGTTAACGCGCCGATGACAACACAGGGCCTCGGGCAAGGGAAAGTTCCAGTGGGCACGATGTACGTCGGCGGGATAATGACGTGCAAGGAGCACAGGAAGACCCCATATTGCGGAGTGTGTTTGCGAGAGGCACGGCTGATGGAGAATGGATCGGAATACGTGCAGGGGCCGGCGATGTGCTGCGCCGACAATGAGGATAACGACCAGTTTCCAAAGGTGGAGTCGACATGCCGGTCATGTAGAGGCGAAGCGCTGTGGCGATCGGTTCAGCGGAGCGCATGGGATCGAGAGGCGGTGGGGGGCGTGAAGCTGGCTAGTGAAGACTGGGAGGCGCGGCAAGCAGTTGAGTCGTTCGTGGATCTAGGAGAGGGGAGGGTGTCGGAAGTGGTCACTCTGGCGCGGGAGCGACATTGGTACAAGATGAATACGAAGTTGGGGGACATGCTGCTGCAGGCGCTGGCAGCAGCACGATATGGAGCAGTATCGGGCGAGGTACCTGATGGAGAAGGCGGCGGGTACGGGAGCGACGGGGAGGGAAGCGATTTTGAGGACGACAACGAGTTGTTGAGCAACATGGAGGAATCGGGGGGCTTGCGGGACCTGGCGATCGCGGACTATGCGCGAGGGAGGATCCTGGACGGTTTCTGGATCGCGCCAACCGACGTATGGCATGAGAGACCCGGCTGGCGAGAGGCCGTACCAGCACAACATCCATGTCCATGGCATCCGAGCGCGATGTATGGCGGAGCGCTCGATGATGCAGAACGCGAGAAGGCTCTAGACGGCGAGCAGCTATCGCATCCGCGGCCGAGGACAGTGCGGGCGCGTCTACCGCCATCATTGGAGCTCTGTACGTCCGTGAGCCATGCGTTCGCGAAGCAACTGCGAGATATCCTGACGCCAGCGATGAAGAACATTGTTCGTCGATTGGTTATCGAATGTGCGGCGGATGGGAAGGACCCGGCGGTACTGGCGGCGAGGATGACACCGGAGGATGTGGCAGAGAGTCTGCGCGACGAAGCGACGTGGTTCGACGGCGTGGACTGGTTGCAGAAGAGGACGAATACAATTGCGGCAGAGAAGGAGCGTGACAGGAGGGAAAAGGAGGAGGATAGTTCGTCAACATCGTCTCGGTCAGACGGGTCACGAATGACAAGTCCCATGTTGTCGACTACCACGCTGCAGACCACGCCGTCTCCTCCCCCGAGTGGGAGCGCGAGCTCAAAGGATGATGATTCGATAGCGTCTCCGATTGCGCCAAAGCCCCTCGTCATCTCTGTAGCGCCGGTGCTCGCATCTCCGAAGATGATACATCCAATTCCTTACGTCCCGGTTTCAATCTCACATTTACCAGAAGACAGCCTAGATGCGTTCAAATATGTACGTAAGCCTAAATTATTCGCTTCTGAGTTGCGCTGATGGTTTCTGTATCAGGCATGGAGGGAAGCATCTGCTCCCCTTTATGAGTGTTATTGCTCAATTTGTGAACGCCGGATTTTGAAGGCGAATATGGCAGCGGGAATGGCCGTGCCTAGTCAGGCACTTGCGAATATACATCAACCTATTCAAGCACAAGTTCAGGAGTTTACAGTCCAGTTTGCTCGTGCTGACGTAGAGGAAGAAGAAGAAGAGGAGGAGGAGGAAGAAGAAGAAGAAGAGGAGGAGGAGGAGGAGGAGGAGGAAGAGGAGGTAGGAGAAGTTGAACTTGAATCGGAACAGGACGATACGTCTGTGTCAGATGAGGCACCTGGTTCTCTAGCCACGCCCCGTAAGCGATATTCGGAGGAATTGGGCGCACAAGCCGGCAGTGGCATGGATTCTGAAAGAGGCGGGTCTCCTCCGAAAAGGCCTCGCGTGAACGGTACATATTCCTCACGTACCGCGGTGTCCCCTTCACCCGGGGGACTACGCAAACGATCTTCAGAAGACCTGGAAGAGGATGGGGCCTTTCCACATACCAATGGCGAGCCGAAGAGATTGAAGGCAGAGGTGACGAGCCGTCCCCGGCTCCCGCTTCCAAGGACGAACACCAAGCAAGCCAACGGGCCGGATACATCTCGATGAGCCGTCGCCTGCTTGTTCGCCATTTGCAACTCCGAAAGGTTCTCGATGGTCCTCTGGTTGCTATCGCATGTGTCATTGTCCGCGCAGAGGACTCGTGTCCATGCTAATCGTCTTGGGCTACGATCGAAGGATTTGTTACACCTGATCCTGCCGAGTTGAGGGCGTGAGATCTGGGTCCAGATGCGCCCCGACGTCGTGTGGGTTCCATGAAAAGATAGAACGTCCCGGAGGGGAGAGGATTTTGTGTTCTGTGAGCGTGTGGGAGACATCTTGTATACTCTTTCCGTTTATCTTTTCACGTCTTTCTCGCTCCGTTTTGGCGTTTCCATTTTGTATAGTAGTACACATGCATTCGGTGCCTGGCGACGGCCCGCCTCTGCATCTGCAGTTCTCGAGCATGCATTTTCCTCCGTTCTGATCCAATTTCGCTTCTCGACCGCGTTGTGAATCATATATAGTCGCTGCCTTCGTATGACTTTGTAGAACGTACACTCGGCCCATTCTTCGAATCCGCAATGCTGTAGCAAAATTTTATACAGAACCTGTATTTTATATGTGGAACTCGCTCTGGGTATACATCCTCAGAATAATTCGATATTTATTCTCCAGCAGATGTAACACTACCATTCGCACTATGCTCATTTATGATTGCGAAGCAAGTGCGTGTGTGTGATGTTACATAATGGCAGGGATAATTTCATGCATGCAACAGTTTAGTAGATCGAGGTGACTCAACAACACATCCACAATACATCCTAGAGCAGAGACGCCGATTGTACGATAATGAATTGAGATGAGACACCAACAAACGGGGTGATGGATCCGGTTAGGTGCTTCGCGTCGCCAAAGTAGGATAGACGATATATGCCAGCTAGAGGAGTCCAGATGATTGGATGTCCCGCAAGGATACATTCTCTAATACTCACCTGGGGTTTCAGGTTCGATGCGCCTGGGCATACCAGCAAATGAGCATCATGACGAGAAGACAAAGCGATGGACTGACCATGTGATGGTGACCGTGCTTGTTCCGAATAACTAAGAAGTTGATGTTAGGGGCACTAATCTTCTGCACAAAACATTGGCTTTGACACTTACGGTGTTCGTCCGTGTCCATTGGAACGTCGTAGATGGATGCGAGTCCGATCTGATGGGCGTCCATCGTTCATTGAGCAAGCGTTCCACCGTAAGAAATGTTCCCTCAAGCCGTAGGTTGTTCTGAACGATGGAGCATTAACTTTAATTTTTGCTTGCTTTGCAGGCGTACATACCCTCGGATTGGCCCTGAGATAGCATAACCTGTTAGGTGGAGATCTAGACGATGAATTGCGATAGTCAACTCTTACCCAACGAACTGTGCTGTCACAGCATCTCCGGCATGATATGCAGCATTGGGGTTGACATCCACAAGAACATCCCCAAATTGTTTCATCAACGGTGGATGATCCTGGCTTACAGGAAGCTGACAGTCACAAGAATGGAATAAGCTCCGATTTGGTAAAGTCAAACGGATTTCGAGGCGATACCTGTAAAGAGATCGCCTTGCCTGTGAGGTCCAAAGGCGCTGGGTCAGACGGTGGAGAACCTGTCGCGTTGATCGTGAGATACGGAACAAGATTGCCGTATTCATGGATGTATGCGTCGAGCGTGTCTTGTAAAATGCACTGTGAGAATGGGAGAGAAATGCCGAAAGCAAAGGTGGACCCACTGGGACCATATATGGTAGAAGCACCCTCATAGCGTTGCACAGCATACTCTTCTCGCGTAGTAACATAATGCGCGTATGTATTCGCAGGTCCTGCCACAACTATGTATGCATCCTCACCGACGACCCCTGAAGATATGAGCTGAGCACGGAGTGTTTCCCTAAGCGCATATAAAGCTCAAAAGTGAACAGAGCATCGAGCATAACAAGACTCACCGTATGCGCCTTCCGGCCATCGTTGTCATTTCTCCAGGGATGATGAGCATCACGAAATTGCCCACACGCAGTATTTGTATGTCGACCGTATCTGGAGACCATTGGTATGGCTCATGGGCATATCCCTAGTGAGGATATCAGCACAGCGCTGTTCGTCTACTATTGTCGCTTACAGTGTCCAGAAGAATAGGTTTTGGATCTTGGCAGGCAATCTGCTCTGGCGGTGGCGGAGGCGTTACAGCGCCTGCATTGAGTATCAGTAAGGACACTTGAAACTAGCATGATGGGACGCTTATGCACCCTTTACTAATTCCCAAAAAGGATTCCTACGCACTACGAGTGAGTGTTATGAACAGACCGGGATGGTAATTTCTTACTGAGGGGAAGATGAGTTGTCCCCTTGGATGAAATCGAACTTTCCTGGTCCGTCACTGAGCCAATGAATGTGAATATCAACTTTGGACAGCGTCATTGCAGAGACCGTTCGTACGTGGTGCCTCCAGCAAAGGAGTATCCTACGCAGCATTAGCGCAAGATCAGTCGCTCAACTTGTACGTGAAAGATTCACCAAGAGCGGGAGGGCATGTCTGTACAACTGTGCCATTGGGCAGCTCAAACCTGTGGAAGTTCCTGGAGTGTGCACAATTTTAGAGCTTAGAATTCCAATGTTAGTACTAGACGCATACATATCGAGGTATCGATGCGCCCAGCGCACAGGCCCGGAAACAGAGGCTAATTCTTGCTCCATGAGCTCCTTCGCCCCATCTACTTGACGCTGTGCAATGATCAGATTTGACTCATAGTCAGAAATCCGGAAACCGGGACCACTGGAGTCGCATTGTGAGTACCAGAGTGTGCTTTGCGTGAGCGATACAGACGCACCGTCCTCGGCAGTCTTCCGTCCTGTTTCCGCATGTTGAGTGCTCAAAGTCACATACTTGACCATCCCAAGGGTTTCCTGGGCTCTCGCAAACTGCACCGAGACTGATAATTCATCAGTTTAAATCCGATTTGGATGTTGGATATGAGTGAACTGACGTATTCGGACTCGTATCACCAACATTGGCTATGATAAGTTATGTTAGAAAGGTACACGATGCGGAGACATAGACGTACACTGCGTGAATCCAGCAACGAACGTGGTATTGCCCGGCATTGAGGATGGCTCAACCATAGCTATATAGAAATCCTTTATACGCGTGGGTCAATTCAGCGACCTCCACGCACCCTCATAAAGATACGCCGCCATGCCCTTATTGTCACCGCTCACGAGCGTGTTGTTCTGTATAACCACGACTCAACCCCTACACTTATACGCGAGCATATGTAAAATTACCTGATAGAGGCTAGTTCCATGAACGGGAAAGAAGCTCAAGAACCCCCTGGCGTCTCCATCGAGATCATCGAAGCGGAGCAATGTCATCTCCTTGTCCACATCATACTCATACTTGGCACGCTCGTCTGCCGGATTTGCAAGGTAGGCGCTTGGTGACCGATTAATATTTGCATTAAGAACAGTTGTGTTTCCGACACTGAGGATGCCTGGAGCTAGGCTCTCGTGTGCCCGCCGCACAGCCATAACGGTCCCGTCTATGATGGCGTCCGCTGTCTGCTTCACATAGCCCAGTGAGGTAATGTGAGGCAGCAGGTTTTCGAGGTAACCCCCGACGCCAGCGTGCGAATGCGTCGCTACGAGTGCAATATTCTCGTTTGTGTACAGTCCAGGATACGTGGAGGAGAGTGCTGACACAATTGAGCGGCGGATGCCTGTGTCGCCCATCCCAATATCTGTGAATGGGGTAAGTTTGTTGGGATAAACAAATGGAGTGACATACGTACCTGCATTAATGAAGACGACCCGATTGAAGGGTTGGGTAGCGTCAGCAACAATCCACGCACGACTTCGTTGCCGCATGTGTAATCCAGTGTCGGTCTGCTGCCTATCGGCGTACCCCTGACCGTGAAAATGAGTGTAGCAGAAGAATACGCGAAAACTGGACACTCATGACGTACCATCATGTTAGTCTCAACGACGGGGCTGAAGAATCGTTTTAGCACATATTCTTCCACGAGTGCTCAAGACATGTACCCCGTAATATCTCCAATTCCTTAGGCATCCAAGATAGTATTCAGCCATGATCTTCGCGTAAACAAGGCGAAGAACTCATACCAAGTCCCAGAAGATATCCAGATTCTACTTGCGTGCCGTCTGACTGCACCGTCGGCGTGGGTATTTTCAAGGCACTGTGTGTCGAGAGCAGGACGGACGTCCACAGAAAGGCTTTTCCAAGCAGCTCTGCGACCGAGTGCATGATCCTCCAGACATCTGGAGTCAGAGCGGAAGGGTCGACGAGATACATGACTAGCTTGTATCTTCGGAGATGTTACTGTCTGTCTGTTTTCGACTGCAGCCGGTGCATATATTTGTGAGTGACGAGAGACACAATCAGAGAAAGGAGTAATTCAGAGGATTGTAAAGTTGTCAAAGAACACAGGTCGCTGTTAGCATGGCGAGCCACCGGTAACATTGACCGAGCAAGTGAGGATCGGCTGGAGCGGCATACTCTTCCGATCAATCACGTGAGGTTACCGCTTGAGTTTTTGACGAGTTTTGGACATTTGGTCTCTGTATCATAGCCGCGGCCGACCTCATGCATCTGTTTTGCACATGAGAGCTTGGACTTCAGCACTTCGGAGAAGATCTTCGCCCTTATCATGATTATAGCTCGCCTTTTTCTGAGGCACCGCAGCTCGTGTGATGTATATGGCTCTTTGAGTATCGCGTTCAGCTAATGCAGATACCATCCCCTTTGTTCGGCGAGTGCAATTCGTGTTCGTTTCACTCAAATATGCTCATATAATCCCCCCTGGGCTGACATCGCTATTTTTAAATCAGGCTCTCGATGCTTATATGCCACGCATGTGAAGCGGATTACTGTGGACAGATCTTGCTAGCGAGACGGCGCTTGAACTGTTGCTCTCAGATTCAATTTGTTTCTGCACTATTCTTCAACAAGATTCTCCGTATTGATTGACCCTATATTCGGTCTGTAGATGTTTATCGGGCGAAGAAGGTGCCAGTATGGCGTTCGGTCGTTGGCACGGCATGTGCAACAGTAGGCTCACGCTGAAAAGTGCTCTTGTGCTTCGTCGGATTGGGATTATCAACGACAGTAACCGTTTGCTGACGCGAATAAGGTTGGTTCCAAGTGGCATGTGGAGTACTCGATAACGAGTGCCGGCGCGCATGTATTACTACATACGCAAAGTCGTGAAGCGCCTTTGGTCTGAATTTCTAATCTGCCAACGCATAAAGCTATTGGTAGCCTACAAGAGTAAGCTTCTCTGATCGTGCAGAATGCTTCCCTCCTCTACTTCCATCCGCGCGATGCGGGCGCTCATAAGGAATGCGCTACACGTGTTCGCTCGCCCCCTTGTACTTATGTGTACGCTTCATATTTTGGGTCATTTTCGTAACGCAATAATTTTAGCGGATTCACAGACGGCTGTTGAACGAGAACGCCATCATGGGCGCCAAGTTTCGCCTTCAAGAGTGTCCCGTCTGCGAATTCTTGACTTTGACTCCCCACTTTTACTCTCTGAGCGATTCGATTTCGCTAAAATGTCCTCTGACCCCATCAATCTCAAGGTCTACCGAGAGGACAGCTCCGACGGCGACGGCGTCGGATTGTCCGACCCGCGCTTGTCGTCTGGAAGACGCCAAATGCTGGATCTCGTCAATGGTCTACACAGCACAGGGTGGGCTACCATTCATAGTGAGGATCAATGATGACGTGCTAATCTTTCATGGAAAGGGTCCAAGTGGACATAGACCTTCCTATGACCGCGGTCATAGGATCCCAGAGCGCTGGGAAATCGTCGCTGATAGAGTCCATCTCTGGCATTACGTTGCCTCGGGCGAGTGGCACCTGTACAAGGTGAAAACTTACTCTCTTAGTTTTAACCCAAGTTCATGAACTTTTGTAGATGTCCTACGGAATGTCGCCTGTCGAGCTCAACTGATCCATGGTCGTGTACCGTCTCGCTTCGCTTCATGACGGATGCCCTTGGGCAGACCATTCCCGTTCGCAATGTCGCTTTCGGTGAAATGATTTACGAGAAGTCACAGGTGGAAGAGAGAATCCGACGTGCGCAGCTGGCCATCCTCAACCCAAGTACCAGCCCTCTTCACTATCTGAACACCGATGACGGTGAAGAGGATGATAGGGAAGTGACTTTCTCGACTAACTGCGTGTGTCTACACATCAGTGGCCCTGGAGTTGCGGATCTGTCATTTGTTGACCTTCCAGGTAGGTTGTTTTGTATTTTGTGAGGCGTGCTCTTCAACTTGTATCCTTGTAGGTCTTATTGCGAGTGTTGGAATCGGAGGGAACCCTGGGGATATCGAACTAGTCAAGAATCTTGTAACACAGTATATCCAGCGCGACAGCTGCATAATCTTGCTGACAATCGCATGCGAGAGTAAGCTCTTCCCATTAGCTGTAGCTTCCCGGCTGACATAGGTCATATGTTCACCTCAGCCGACTTTGAGAACCAAGGTGCCCATCACCTGGCGCAAAAATATGATCCCGAAGGGAAAAGGACCATTGGTGAGCGCTTCGAAGACTTGATGAGACTTCTTTTCACAATAAGCCACTTACAGGTGTCCTGACAAAACCTGACCGGATTCAAGTCGGTGACGAAGATCGATGGATTAAGCTTCTCAAGAACGAGTTCCCTACTCTCACGCTCGCGAATGGTTGGTTCAGCGTGAAACAGCCCGACTCGCGTGCGTTGGCATCCGGAATCACTTGGTCGGAAGCACGCTGTCAAGAGCATGAGTTCTTCGCAAATACTGCTCCCTGGTCCGGCCTTCCTATTCAGTTCCAAAACCACCTGGAAACCACGAATCTGACAGAACGATGCAGCGACATCCTGTCTGAACTGATCGCAAAATGGTCAGCTTTTTGCTCCTGACAAACACTCCATGGCTCATGCAACATCATCTACGCATCACAGGCTTCCTGTTATCCAGGATGAACTACAGAAGATGTTGAAGGCGACAGATGACAGACTGCTCGGTCTGCCCCGAGCACCCTCCCTTGCCGACGCCGTCAACGAGGTATACAATCTGGTCAGCAAATTCACTGATGGCCTATCTGCATATCTTGAGGGCACACCCGAGGGGGATGGGCTGCTTCAGTCACTGCGACCAAGTCATGACAAGTTCAGGAAGGTGATTCGTTCAACGGCTCCAGATTTCAGGCCATATGAGCGAAATGTCGATGTGGCCGACGATTTCGTGGCACCGAACATACTCATCGATGAGGAACCTCATTTTAAGCCCGAGGATGACCGCAACGCGATATTCGTTGATGAGGTGATGACGCGCGCGCAGGAGTAAGTCGTCGGTGTATGCTGCATGGTCGTCGCTTACCTTTCGTCGTGCAGAGCTATCACACGAGAGCTCCCCGGATACTACCCTTTTGTTGTCGTCAAGCAATATATTGCCGATATCATATCTCTGTGGGAGATACCCAGCCGTAATCTCCACGACGACGTCGAAACCATCCTCATGCACAAAGTGAAGGAGTTCATCCGCCGTGAATTTTCTCAGTACCCCCAGCTCCAGCTGCACGTCACGTACGTTTCGCGTCGTGACTCTAGACGTCTACTGACTTCGCCGCTACAGGTGTGTCATGACTGAGCACATCTCGACTTGCTCGAAGTCCACAGTGGATCGCCTTGACTGGCTCTTGGAGCTGGAGAAGCAGCCGAGAACGTCGAACGACCACTACTACCGTTCTTACTTTGAGAAGTTCGCCGCATACTACAAAGCGTGCCGTCTGCGGTCAGGAGACCAGTCGCTCGTCGAGAAGCTGAAGGCATACGATTCTAGGTCTCCAGATGAGTCGTCGTTTGGGACGGCCGTCACGGAGATCTTGGCCGGCTTCAGCAAGCTGGGGATCTCTCGGGTCACCCCTGCCGACTTGCTCAAGGTCCTTCCCTCGGATCCGTACGAGGCCGCGATCGGCATCATGGCAAGCGTGCGCGCATATTTCCAAGGTAGAGCGCCGTTGTATCGTCCGTCCGCTTGCTCATGTATACCACACAGTTGCGTACAAGCGTTTCGCAGACAACGTCCCCAATGCTGTCGACCACGAGCTCATTCTGGGCCTCGATCGCGACAAGGCGCTCGAGAAGGTCTTGAGGAAGGAGCTCGGGATCAGTGGACCCGATGGGCACCGACAATGCTTGGAGTATCTGCAGGAGCCGTTGAATGTCTCGCGGACTCGGGGAGAGCTCACGCACAAGAGAGACAGGCTGCTCAAAGCAAAGAGGGAACTGATGAGGCTTCGCCTCTGATCGTATTCACATATATCATGATGCTGCGCACGGGTGGGTATTTATGCCATATATCGTAAAAGTCTTTGTCTTGCGTCACGTTTGAGCTGTGTGTTCAACTATTGGAAGTCACAAGTGTGTTGCTGCACATCTGTCACTTCTCATGGTGTGAAACAACATCAGGAACACATACATTTTGCCTTTTTGCACTTTTTTGTGCTTTTTGTGCTTTTTTTCACAAAAAAAGCAAAAAAGCAAAAAAAGCAATGTTGCATATGTGTTATAAAATTCATTAAGATATACATGAAAAATAAAAAGCACAAAAAGCACAAAAAAGTGCAAAAAAGCAAAATGTATGTTTTCCTGATGAAGCATGAACATTATCGGTTAGGATGAAGCAGGGGTGCCCTACATTCTGACATCGAGGCCTGTAACCTCACACCATCGTCGCAGGTGTTGCCTCGTGGGCTTCTTATGCTGATCGTTGTGTCCAGAACCCGTCTTGCTTTGGGAGTGTTAGTGACTTCCAACCGCAGCCCGCCCGCCTCGTGAGCCTGCACGCAGCACACGAGGCCCGCTCCTCACTCGCAGATGTCGGACAACAGCCAAACATAGCTCCGGAGAAGAGGTGCCCCTGCTTCGGCGTCACTCCTGGGGTTTAAATACACTCGAGGCACTGGTGTTCGCTGGCCTCCCGCCATCTCCTCATCGTCTCACTCGACCTCCATGTCAGACAATCCGGCACCAGGCGGCACTACCACCGCTGGCCATGCGGGGGTCGGGCTATCCGACCCTGTCTATACAGCGGGCAGACGCAGGATGCTAGACCTCATCAACCGTCTGCACAGCACCGGGCAAGTCGAGTCCGTCGTCTCCCCGCGCGCCGTCCCCGCTGACTCTTCGCCCCGTCCAGCGTCCAGCGCGACGTCGACCTGCCCACCATCGCGGTGATCGGCTCCCAGAGCGCGGGCAAGTCGTCCTTGATCGAGTCCATCTCGGGCATCACCCTCCCCAGGGCCAGCGGCACTTGCACCAGGTCCGTGCGCCGTCAGTTATGCCGTGCCGGGGGCAGCGGGGCTCATGACGTTTGCAGGTGTCCGACGGAGTGCAAGCTGTCTTACTCCAGCGGGCCGTGGACGTGCACCGTCTCGCTCCGGTTCACGACCAACGAGCTGGGCCAGGCTCTGGGCCAGGCGCGCAACGAGCCGTTTGGGGAGCCGATGCTGGACAAGGCCGCCGTCGAGGAGCGGATCCGGCGGGCGCAGCGTGCGGTGCTCAACCCGGGAAAGAACCCGCGGCAGTTCCTCGAGGGGCCCGACGACGACCCGTTCGAGCGCGAGCTCTCGTTCTCGTCGAACTGCGTCTCCCTCGATATCAGCGGGAGCGACGTCGCGGACCTGTCCTTTGTGGACCTCCCAGGTGCGCGCCCCGCCCCTCCCGCCCCTCCCCCCCTTTCCGCTGTGCCGTTCGTCGTGACATTCGCCGACAGGTCTGATCGTGAGCGTCGGGGAGGGCGGGAGGGCGGGAGACATCAGCCTGGTGAAGCACCTCGTCACGTCATACATAGCCAAACCCAGCTGCATCATCCTGCTCACCGTCGCATGCGAAAGTACGCACACGCACACGACTCGCCGCTCTTCCACGCTGACGCGCAGACACTCTCAGCGGACTTTGAGAACCAGGGCGCGCACACCCTGTCCAAGCTGTACGACCCCGACGGGAAGCGCACCATAGGTCAGAGACGCGCGCCTGCACCCGCGTCGACAGCGCTGACATGCATCACCAGGCGTCCTGACGAAACCAGACCGCATCCCGCCTGGGGAGGAAGACCGCTGGACGCGCTTCATCAAGAACGACTATGAGCCCCTCGAGAACGGCTGGTTCAGCGTGAAGCAGCCCGATTCGCGCGCCCTGGCCGCGGGGATCTCGTGGGCGGGTGCGCGCCAGCAAGAGAAGGACTACTTTGCGCAGACCGCGCCGTGGTCCGACCTCGAGTCGGCGTACCAGAGCCATCTGGGCACGGCGGAGCTGACGAGCCGCCTGAGCGCCGTCCTCACGAGCCTCATCGCGAGGCGGTGCGTCTGACACTGTTGTTCTGCCCTGTGTCTGCGCTGACGCCGCGGCGCCAGGCTCCCGGAGCTGAAGGACGAGCTGCAGGAGCTCCTGCGCAAGACGGTGGACGAGATGCGGCAGCTCCCCAAGCCTCCGGCGGCGAATCCGTTCGCAGAGGTGCTGCACGTCGTTTCCGAGTTCTGCCGCGACCTCGCGCAGCATTGCGAGGGGACGCCAGATGAGACCGGGCTGTTGCAGGAGATCCGGCCGGTCAAGGACGCCTTCCGGAACGCGATCAGGAGAACAGCTCCGGACTTTAGGCCGTACACACAGGCTGAGCAGGCAGCGGTCAGCGAGGCCGCCTCGATGTGTGCCGAAAAGGAAGCTAGCCGAGATGTTTACAAGCAGGAGCAGGAGGAGCAGGAGAACGTCGAGCTGGATGTCGGAGACTCTGAGTTTTGGATGCCTGACTTCCTGTCGAACGAAGAATACCCTGTTGCAGCACCGGGCGGCAGAAACGCGATCTACATCGACGACGTCATGGATCGCGCAAACTGGTGCGTACGTCGTCTTTCGCGGCGAGGGGGCTCGCTCATCGTCCGCGCAGGGCGATCACGCGCGAGCTGCCGGACCACTATCCCTTCATCATATCGCAGAACTACATCGTCGCCGTCACGTCCACATGGGACGCGCCAGTGCGCGCGCTCTTCGAGGCCGTGCAGCGCATACTCGCCGCCCACGTCCGGCGGCTTATCGCGCGGCACTTCTCCAAGTACGCGCAGGGCGGGCTGCAGCAGCAAGTGACGTGAGTCGCCGCCGCCCCTCCGCATCGCGCGCCGTCGCCGCACTGACGCTGACCGCCGCGCAGGCTGCTGCTGCTGGACTACATCAAGGACGCGTGCACACGCACCGCCGAGCGCATCGCGTGGCTCCTGGAGCTCGAGCAGCGCCCGTCGACGCTCAACGCGCAATACTACCGCGACTACCGCGACAAGTTCTTCGCCGTCTACCGCGCGCGCCGCGAGCGCGACACGCAGGCGCCGCTGCTCCGCACGCTGCAGAGCTATGCGCCGTTCGTCCCGGACCCGTACGGCAGGCGCGAGCCGTCGAAGCTGCAGGTGAGCATGGCCCAGGCGTTCGCGGGGCTCGCGGAGGTCGGGTTCCCCGGCCTGCGCGCGACGGACCTGCTCAAGCTGCTCCCGGCGGACGCGTACGCGCCGGCGCTGGACATCATGGCGACCGTCCGCGCGTACTTCCAAGGTGCGTCTCAATCGCTATCCCCACCCCCACCCCCACCCCCATCCCCATCC